TAAAAGTCTTGTAAAATCAATAAAGAATAAACCACCTTACAGGCAGCACAATGGCAGAGTGGGTGTCATTGTTGTTTCACAGCTCCAGGATCAATGGTTTGAAACTGTGTTTTTTCTGGGTCAAGTTAGTAGGTTTCCCCTGTTTTCACATATGTTTTCTCCAGGCTTTCTGGCTTCCTCCCACAGACCAGAGACATATGGTCCAAATGAGCTAGTGTGTGTGAACTGCGCCCTGTGTGTATGTTAGTGCCCAGTGCCAGAAGGCTGTCCTTCCGGGCCACAGCCCTGCTTGTGCTCTGTGTCTGCTGGGTTAAACTATAGTGCACTGTGAAGATCTAAGGATGAAGCAAGAACAGTTCATGAACTTGGATGAATGTTTAAAACCCTAAATGTCTATGTGCCCCCTGTGACTGAAGGTGTTATGATTCATTGCATGAATGCATGGGTCTATGCGTCCTCACCTCTCCCTCCAACTACGGGGTCTTTAAAGCAAATGCATTTCTCTTGGTTACAGTGACAGGGTAACGACAGTAACAAACGCTTTTGTTCTTTTAAGAACATGCTATTATTTCCCTTTAAATAATAAACTTTGTAATTATAATAATAAATAATATTTTTTTAAAAAAATACAATTTATTTTTTCTCGACACAAAGCTTTTTAACAGAAGAAATCAATACATATTAATTTCATTCCACAGCAGTCTATTTAGTGATAGCTGGTGCATTTCTAATGAAGTTTTTTAACTTTTATTTCCATTGTGAAACAAGTTAAATTATGCTTAGCTGATTAGATGAGTGAGAAAAAAATCTTTTCAAGCTCCCCATCAATTTAAGGAAAATAATTTATTTTAGAACAGTGACAGTGCAAGATAGGAAGATTGATGTTTTGATTTTGTTTAAAGCTTATTTACATTAATAAGCCATTCAGAAGCTTGTCAGCACTTTCATAAACTGAAAAAGAGGTTTAATGAGACAAATTTGTCATTCATCTTCTGAATATGATTTAGATTTTCAAAAGTGATTAGTTGTATCTGTAATCAGAGACCATCCTTTCTAGAGGAGGGACCTAAAAACTATTAGCAGGTCCCTCTAAGAGTCTATTCAGTAGGTTTAAAACACTCTCTCTGAACCTCCGAGCTTGTGTAAGCATGTCAATATGGTATTTTCTGGATTTACTGCTTGCTGAGCAGATAAGTGTAATACATGAATTCTGTAATACTTCAGTGCTGATAGTTCTATGAATCTCATCCTTAGCAATCATGTAGACAGATTATGTTCAGCCTGAAAATTGGAATCCTATCAGACTGGTACTTCCTTTCCACAATTAAGCAGAAATATCGTATTTAGCTGTGACATACTCAAAAATGCCTTAATAAAATCCTTCATAAGACTTATCTAGGACTTACAGTATTTATATATTTCAACAGTTAATATAGTAGGGGTGTATCTGAAGTAAAACTCCAGTTTTACCTTTAAATCTTATATCAGCAAAGTGGTTTTGATCGTGAGCTTAAAGGATTTTGACTGTAAATGGCAGTCTGTTCTCCTTGATGACTTTCAATTATAGATTGTGGCTTATCTAAAATGTAGCAAAAGGCTGTAGACACAGTTGGTCAGTGTTTTCATTAACTGTAATGTACAGCTTGTAAAGCACTGATCTATGATATCCAGCAAAGATTTATCTGTTTCACGCCTCTGTAGAATAGGACAAATGTGAATGTTATCTTATGGTACTAATCCATTGAAGGTAATGTGCCCTCTTTGAATTACAAATCACAGATGAATCTGCATATTGTTCAGACATTCCCAAGTGGCAAAGGCTGATGTGCACTTGGAAGTACTCCAGTCACAGAAATGCTTCTGCCAGATGGCCTGGAGAGTTCAATGATGTTACAAAGGTTAGTGAAGTCTGTAGCAGCTAATTAGAATAACAAAACATGAGGAATGAACATTCTGGAATAACGAATGTCCTCTCAGCATCTGACAGTAAAGGAATTTCATGGCATTGTCTTAAAAAACACCATCTGTGGCTGGAAGTTAAACTTCTTTATTAAATCCCAAATAAAATTTAAAAGCTTTTATTAGAATACTTAATAAAGACAAAAGTAGCTGTTAAACTAGTTTTGAGAAAACACTGCATTATTCCTCGAGAATTATTGATACTAAGAGGTTAGGTTGAAGAATACTATCAAATTTTGTCATCAAATGTTCTCAGTACAGTATTTTATGGTATTTATATTCTAAGGTATATTACCCATTGTTCTTCCTGTGCGGCCCATTGAACTTTGCAGCTGCGAACTAAGTGAACAAAAATCCAGCTCAAGTATTTATCTCTTGCGCAGAGAAAATCTTGTATCCACAGAAATGATACATCATCCTTTATCCTTCTTCTTAAGGCAGGCAATAAGTTGAGGGTTCTAAAAAAATCTTACAGTACAGTACTAACAGCAGTAATTTTGGTACTTCAAAAGGTGTTAGTTGTTATTACTCAACTGAAGTAAAGATTTTAACCGAGAAAAATAGCACGATGGGCTTCTAAAGTTGAAAACCAAATTACAATTATTCTCTCCTGGTTCATATGGGTTTCCTCTGGGTGCTCTGGTTTCCTCCCACAGTCCAGAGACATACTGGTAGGTTAATTGGCTTCTGGGAAACTGGAGCTGGTGTGAGTGATGCCCTGTGATGGACTGGCATCCTGTCCAGGGTGTATCTCTCCTCATGCCCATTGCTTGCCAGGACAGGCTCTGGCTCCCACTTGACTCTATCGAAGAGAGTGGTAAGAAAATGGATGGATAATATTAATGTCATTGGGCTGATGTTTTTATCTGAAATAACATTAATTTGTACCCATTTATAAAGCTGGGCACTTGTTGTCCCGGAGCTGGAACATTTGTAGCAGAGCAGCACCAGTGCTGGTATTTACATCACAAATCATAATATATAATCTATTTCTTTTTACACACGTGGTGGAATAATATGATTTAAAGCCTTTACTGATTCATTCACTTCTGAAATAGTCAGGAAAATGGAGTCTAGTAAGTTTTCTGAGTACTGTATTACACATAAGATATAGTACTGTATATTAGTTTCTTATGTTCTGTTCCTAGATGACTGTGCTCTTTTATCCAGATTCTGTGTTATCAATACAGAAACTCTATGTAAATTAAAGGTTGCATGGACATGAGTGCTTGTATCACTTCAAGCTTGCACATAATTAAAAATAAAACTGTTACAATTACCTTAAAAAAGATCTACTTCTTCAGTTCAAAAACATATATAATCCACTCTAAAGCATCAAAGCATCTTTGGCAGTTCACATCTGTAGGTATACAGAATAATGCTGGCATAAAAGATTGATTTCATGAAAGTGTTCTTCTTTTATAAAACTCAGTGAGGTCTATGTTATCCATTAGCGTGCAGTTTGAGTCCTGTTCTCAGAGGAGTTTGTGTTTAATGAATACTTATATTAAGGTGACGTTGTGATTCAAATGCATACATTAGGACTTCCAGAAAAAAAAAGTCTTTGCAAAAGTAGAAACAGGAAGTATTCAGTGATACTTGCACAGGTCACTGACATCTCATGCTCATGTTTTATTTTGTTAAGCGTTTTTTGTTGTAGGGCTCTTAGACATCCTTATAGCAGTTGTAAGTGTATTAGAGTACATCATGAAACAGACATTTATCTCTGTAAGTTGTTCCACTGGACAATTGTTTTCTATCACATTGATGGCCATGGCGACAGTAATGGCACAATCTGTTTGAGGTTTGAGCCAGACGGTGACAGTTAGAGAGATTTATGGAACAAATCCTCAGCTGCAGAGCTCACTGGATGTCCCTTGCTGTGGCTGTAAATCTTTCATTCACAAAAAAAAAATACAACACCACCTCAGGCAGCAGGAGTAAACATTCCCTATAGACAAATGCGGTTGTAGGCTATTAATGCCCAGATACTGTATGAATAGAGGTCAGCAATGTATGGCCTCTGTAGTACTGCATATCCATGGAATATTTTTAAAGCATTACACATTATTATTTTATTTTAATGACTTCAAAAGCATTGTGTCTAGTTAAGTATATGTAAATATATATATATGCATAGTGCTTATTCTTTCTGTTTTGTTGTAGTTGTAACAACCCTCAATGTACTTATTAAAGTGATGCATAAAAGATGTAGAAAATGTTATAATTATTTTAATTACTAAAACAACACAATCCATTTGATTAAGTGTATTGGGATGTGAGACTTACACATTTTATCATTTTAATTACTTTTACATGCAGTGCAGCTGGTGAAACGTCCTTGTGAGAAACTGAACAGTACTATCGTGGCTTTTCTTTAGCAACATAAATCTAACTCAAATTGTGCCACCATTGGTGGTGTGCTCAGGAGATGGTCAGTGTCTGATTAGACAGATTAATTAACCTCTTTCACTGTTGTTACTAATGCATTCCTAGCTGTGCCTGCCAGGAACTTAAACACTAAAACAAGAATTTCCAAGCACATTCTTTGGGTATGCAAAGAGTTTTGTGAGGAATATCTGCAATAATTCAATGTGTCAAGAGATAACAGATAAGGATTTTTTCTAAATTATGCAACTTTGTGTTTTTGTACACAAGCTTTTTCTCAAGCCTGGGGAACCCTTAAGGGAAGCTTTTCTTTGTATTCAGTGACAGTAACACTTTTCCTCATTATTGCTCTTTAATATCACATAAATAATAAAGCTTTAACTTAGCAAAATTGAACTATACTGAACAAATCACTTCATCCGCAGTATTTTGTCCCATCACCATTAATCATTTAATCAAAAATGAAATTGTACAGTCTTTAAGCATTTATTCAGATTTTCTACACATTTTCTACACATCCTACACATAATCTAGAACACAACAGAATCAAATCTTAGAACAACAAAATGAAAGCAAAATACACAAACTAATGGATATATAACTTTTTCTCCCCTTCTGCCTGTCACGCACTGCTAATATGGATGTCTACAAAGGCTCAGGTTAGTGACACTTATTCTGTATTTATACTGTACTTTATTTAATGAAGTCAATGCATGCAAAGCCAGGTATGAGGAGATAAATATCTCCTACTAGACTAGCCTTTATATGAGCACAATAGTTTATTTTATCAAACTGTGTGCAGCACAAACAGTAAGAAAAATGACAGAGAGCACTCACTTAAATTCCATCATCATCCCATCCCTGGAATTATTCTGGCATTTCTTAAGATTCATGGGACGTCATTATATTGTGAATAAAAAGCAAACTTTAAAAGATAAATCTCTCAGAAGGTGGCCATATTTTTTATTTTGCTTTTTAAATAGTTTTGTTTATCTTTTAATAGAAGCAGGAGGATAGAATTGAGGTGTGTGTGTGTGTGTATGTACAGTATGTATGTGTCTTTTTTTCAAGAAAAACTGCTGTTATGCTCTCGTGTTGCTCCTGCCATGAAATTGTGTTGCATTTGCTGGCTGTTGTTTCAGATAACTATTGCCTAGGAAGGAATATCTATTTAAAATGGCAGTTGACAATGAACCATAACAAATAGGTCACTGGGTTTTCAGTGCCAAGCATATATGAGATACTGTAAAACCTAATGTTTCATATTTTAGAACACTGGTGTAGTGGCAAATAATGCTTTGATGTTTGCCTAGAAAATAAATTGTCCTGGTGTCAAGCAGGATTAGTTAAAGTTAGGAAATTATTTTAATGAAAAGTTGGAAGCAGACATAAATGTAATCTTGGTATTGTCTTCATCCGAAAGTCTTTGGAATCTTCAGACAATGTAGTTTTCTCTCTCATAAAGATCCTGTATTGTCTACTGCTTCTTACTATAAAATAGTTAAAAGCAAAAGCCATACTTTCTTGAAGTCAACTGTAACAACACAAAATCTGTGTATGACCTATTATCAGTGGATTATTTTTTAAAACCTATGGTTACTGGTTCAAGAGTCGTGGAGATCACTGATCACGATCGGTAATGAAGAACATAATAACACAAGCTGTTGTTAAGGATCACATTGTTGAAGTCCTGCTGTGTGGAAACATGTTGACCAATTACTGCCCAGTTGTCAGTGTGAAATTCAGAAAGATTTTTAATTCTCTGAGTTGGACTGTCAGAATAAAATGGCCAATGTTGTTTTTGTATTCTGTCTTTAGAGTTCTGCTTTCAAAGGAAATATCAAAGTGACCTGACTGTGAATCTAGTGCCAGACCAGGACTCCAGCAGCTCAGCTGTGTCATGTGTCAGTGTTTCAGCAGTGCAGGAGGGGTACCAATACTGTTCCAATACATCTCATTAGATTTCGAGATGCATATTTACAGACCCCACTACAGGCAGACAGAAAAAGAAATGGTAGTGATGGATATACCAGATATATTTTTGGAGTTGCGGTTCAGGGAATCGTCAGCAGAAGAACCTGGTGAGCTGCACAGTGCTCAGGAATTGTGAAAATTCTGTGACAGGTGATAGTGAAATGAACATGAATGTTCTTCTCATCACCACAACACAAGAAGCAGACCCCCATACTCTCGCGATAAAGAAACACTTTACATTTTATACACCATTCAACTAGCCTGAATGGCCTCCTTTAATTTGAAACCTTTGTTATGTTCTTACGTTCTTCTAGTAACAGGCCTGTTTTATGACTTCATGTTTTAGGTGTATGAGGCAGTCCCATGTTATAACCACTGCAGTCAGTATGTCTGGAAAACTGAGGCTTGGTCAGTATGTACAATTAACACTGTGGACAAGGCTCCAGATTGTGGAGAAGGTGTACAAAGCAGAAAAATCAGGTGAGTATTATTGTTTTTATTGTTGCTGTTATTTAAAAACACTATGCTCTTGATTTTTAAAATGAACTGTGTAATTGGATCCATAATTTTATGACAGATAACACTTCTCTTGAAATCTCCTCATAAGCAATTGTTACAGCAGTCCATCTGTAGGATCTTTCATGGGCAGCTTTCACAAAGTGTTACATTTTCCTTGGAACATGTTGTAGAACACCTGCAGAGTTGTTGCATGTCAACAACAGCATGACAGTCAATAAATAAGCAAACTATGTAGACAAGTTGCCTTTAAGGTTCTGTTCTATGATGTACAGTATATTGAAGAGAGTTTTGTTATTCACAGGTGCAATTTACAGTATGTGATGGCAAATAAGAAACAGTTCTTATGTTTTTGGATCATTTGGAAAAACATTTTATCGCAATCACGATATGATTGCATAATGACACATCTTACATTCCTGTGTTGATGAAAAGATGTTCTTATTTATAAAATTGTATTCTTATAAGCAAAAAGATATTAGCCGAGATGCAGTATGTTCCCATTGTATAATGGTACAATAAGTGTTGACGTTATACACATCTGTTCAAGAGTAACAGCTGGAAATACGAAAGGGTGGTGTTGTTAAGATGACGATACAAAAAGCAATAATTTTATTGAACCGCTCTGAGCTTCTTGATAGTAGGACAGTTTGTAACTGAGAAATCAGTGATACTGTATGGGCGTGTTAGAGAAGAAAGTGTGGTGCCTCAGGCCGGTTATGCAGTTGTTCCGTCTGTCTTACCTCCTTCAGGTGTGTGAAGACAGTGGGTGAAGGCCCAGGAGTGGCTGTGGACGATGCTCTGTGTGACCAGGAGGAGATGCCTGTCAGGGCTCAGACCTGCTTCCTGCCATGTCCGGAAGACTGTGTGATGTCTGCTTGGGGACAGTGGAGCACATGTCCATCCGTAAGAGCCCAGAGACCTTCTCCTCTCTACCGATAGAGTGTACTTATCTGGCTCAGAAAAAGCCCCAATGTCAGGAGGTGAAGATGAAATATATAGTACCAGTTATCCTGTGCATCAGCCTTTCTATGCAGACCTGCTACAATGCACACAGAAAAGCCCAAGGCAAATCTCACCAACAGAGTCAATGAATACATCACTACCTTGCCAGTTGTCATTAGACCTTGTTTGTTAGATTTTTTTACAGCCATATCAGGTATAGCTGCTACCTTCATGCACATATTTTTGAACAATATCACAATTACTTTCATCAGGAATTATGATTATGTTAAAATAAAAAACGTTTTTACCACTGCGTGCAGAATAAGGAAAAATTGCTTTCAAATGTGCTGCATATCTTTTAATGTACCATCCGATTAAAACCTTCTCTCACTAATAATTATTACTGTCGGTTGTTTAAGCCATGTATCAGGCCAGTTGTGCATTTAACAGTTTCCCATTAAGGAGTGACAGTGATGGAGATAAACATAATTTTACCATAATGATTTCTGTGAATTTATGGGCCTCAACATTAATAACAGCTCACCACATGGCACATATAAACCTGTCTTGATTCTCCAGGTAATTTATCTTTTAGCCTTTTAGCACTTCTCAGACAGAATGTTGTATTTTTCACATATTATGAAATTAGAAATAGCATTGAAAGATGTTAGGAAATTCCTCAGATTAAACATTTCTGAATTTGGCTCAAAAGACACATTTATTAAGACTTCAATATCAAGTTTAAAATTTAATGTTATTTTAAATCTTTTGTGAATATTTAGAAAATAGGTTTAAAAGATTATTTAGAATATAATGCACTTATTATATCTTAAGAGGTTGATATTGAAGGTAAAATGTACATACAGTATATTGAATAGGTTAGTCTTGCTGTATTTTATTGATAACTTCATAAATAACTATTAAAATAAATGTTCATCGTCATAGTAGCTAGATTATTTTTCCCTCTGTCTAAAACATGTTCTTTAATCATTTAATATCATTAGAACTTAAATATAATTTTACATTTCTCCTTATAATAAGCTACTGTTTCCTTGGGTTCTTCTGTGTTTTCTATCGAGAAGAATCAATAAAACATTAAACTACTTTAAAACATTAAATTAAAAGAACGCAGGTGTGTTTAAACTCTTCTGAACAAGCACAAAACAAATTTAGTTGACGAAGATTCACCTGAGAAATATGAGAAGGTGTCTCTTGACAATATTGTCTGCTGCAGCCCTGTGACCAGAAAATGATCAGACAAAAGACCAGGAGAGTGTTGAGACCTCCACAGGCTGGAAGATCCTGCCCAGAGGACACAGAGACAGAGCCCTGCCTTCTCAACACAAACTGCTTCACCTACCAGTACAATGTCTCAGGTACAGTACAGTGCCAGCTCGCTGCAGATTCTCTTCATTGAATTACAAAGGGAAATTCGGTTCCTGAACAATTTCAATATGGCCATCCATTATTATTTTTTTTATATTCAGCTACAAGAAATCTACAAAAGACCATTTTCTCTTTCATTATTGGTCAGAGAAACAATGATTTTAAAATGCTGCACATTTCAGGGTCGGAAAGTCGTTCATATTCCCCTTTACTCTCTTTCCGTACTCTCTGTCTCTCGAAAGAATGGAGCACTTGTCAGCTGAGTGAGAATGCCGTCTGTGGGGAGGGAGTCCGATTCCGCCTGCTGGATTGTGTACGGAGTGATCGGAAGGTGGTGGAATTAAGAAATTGTGAGCAGGTAGTGTCCTTCTCCATTCCCATGCGAACCAGAGAAACCTTGTAAAGGTGTCTTTATCTGATTGCCCATGAGCTCTTACATAATTAATTCATTTTTTCATGTCATAGCAAGGGCTTCTGTGCTTGATGCCTACGGAACGCTCTAGCAAAAACTGCAAAATGTTCTTCAGACACAGAGTGTTACAGCGCAGGGCTGTAGAGAGGGAGAGAGTGCCACTTCCAACTTTTTGCATATCTTTGAAGCTGTTCTTATTTTGTTTAAGTACATTTTGATTTAATTAAACTATGTTACGGTGTGAAAAAAACAGTTTTCATGTGTTCTAGTGCAAAAATAGTAAGACTTATTTTCCAATTATCATGTTCTCAGGTGGAGTCCATTTATGACAAGGACTGAGTGATCTGTACTTCTCTGTCAGTGACCTTGTAACTGTGTTCTCATTGTCTTGTCTCCTGCTCTTTGTAGCTAGGATTGGTGAATAAATGGAGACTGACCACTCACTGCCTGGTGGACTGTCCACTTAACTGCCTTCTGTCAGACTGGTCATCTTGGGCAGAGTGCTCTCACACTTGTGGTGACCAAGGTATTAAAAGATGTCAGTTACAGCACCGTGTGCACTATGTTACAGTATATTCATGGGACTGTGTGCACTAAGTTATATGTTGCTTAATTCATACAGTATACTGTAGCAGGACGTTGCAATGTTTACAGTTTCTTCTTTCTGGTTATTGTTCACATAATTATTAATGGTACTGTAAATCAAATCTGCCTTTTATTGTGAACATAATTGCAATGATATAAAATCTTCTTTTTCCCAAAGTTACTTTTCCTTCATTATAACAATTAATAAATGACTAAACCGCACTCTTTAGAGCTTGTGCTGCTTTTACAGTCCAGAGGTTTGTCTCTAAAGGAAATCTGCATGTTAGTCAACTAATTAAAACATTCATCAGTCTTCATCTGTCTTAATTAAGCCCGGCTATATTTTCTTTAGCAAAACCCATCAAAACTGAAGTAACGCCGAGCCAAATCCGTGATATAATATTTCAAATAATTGAGTCAGCTAAGGAAGAGCTAGAAAAGCTTCAATTAATAATAAAATGCTATTTTTACCATTGGGTTGTTCTAACTTCTGGAACTACTTGAAACACAAGGCAGATATGTGAAAGGCTGTTCTGTCTTTTCTGCGTGATTATTTTATTTGCAAGCCGTTGTCATATGCAAGCATGTGATATGTCCTCAAACATCTATCAGTACAAACATTTTCTGGCAGCTATAGAGTGCAGCCTGGAAGTACTTTACAGCTGTAGAATATCCTGTCTGTTTGAGTTTATACTGTTTCAGAGTGTTCCTGCCTGATGGGAATTGCTGTTTCATTTTGCTCTTGTTAGATTTTTCCTCAAATAAATACATGTATGTCCCAGATGATTATAAATTCTTGTCTCTGCTTATTTTCTGGGGTGTATTCTACTGTAGTGATACTTACAGTAAAGAAGCAAATTTATCAATAAAATAAACTGGATTGATTCATCTCATTATTCAAGAGCTCTGTTCAAACATACATTTCTTAGTCATTCATAAGTAAATCTTTAGTAAATTTAGGCCATTTTGTGTTTTTTAAACTTCCTGTAGGTAAACATTTAATTTGTAAAAAGTTATGCTTTTAAAAACAGTATACAAACTTCCTGTAGGTAAATATTTAATTTGTAAAAAGTTATGCTTTTAAAAACAGTATACAGTATATGCCACAAAATGAATGGATTAAGACAAGAACACTATTTTCTGTCTGTTAAATAGCACCAGATCTAGGCCAGGCAAGACCAGATGAGAAAACAAAAGTATCACAACTTATTTTACAGTATATAAAATCATGAAGGGGTTGTGCCCAGAAATGTGAAAACATTTTGACAGTGTATCTGTTGCATGGTGTTGCTGTTTGCAGGCCTGATGGCGCGGACTCGCAGTGTCATACAGCAAGCCCATGATGAGGGGAGGCCCTGTCCTGCTCAGCTAACTCAGGTCAAACCCTGTCCCATTAGGCCGTGCTTCTCCTGGCTGAAGGGAGAATGGTCCCAGTGCCGAGTGGAGGTACAGTCTGCCTTCAGCACAAAACCAGTCTTGTCACTGGTAGTGCCTTTCAGGAGTACAACTTATTGTATTGTTATGAGAAGACAAGACAATCTCAAATTGATATTCAACTTATAAATGGAATTAATGTAAAAAAAAAATTTTAAGCATTATTAAGCGTGTGTTTTACAGTAATTCTAGTGAAAATAACACCCCATGCATACTTCTGTGGTGCCAGCTGTGCAGTGACCCTTGTGAGAAGGTTGTCAATCAAACCCGTTTCCAAAGCTTCCCTGCTGCTAAGCTGCAAGGTGCAGTACAGTATGTGCTGCAGGGACAACACTTACGAAAATGGTTTTACTGATGCCCAAAGAAATGTGTTGTGCTTTGTCAGTGACTACTGCTCTGATTTTGCCTGCAAGACAGCACTCTGTGACGAAATCCTGTAATTCTATAGCGTATTGTTCTGCTGACTGTCTAATCTGTATCAAAAGCTGCAGATGAGATTTCCATTCAAAAGCCTGACTTTTAACCTTACCCGGTAATATCTGGAGATGATTTACAAAATTAATTATTAATTTTGATTAACTGGCTTGATTAACTTCTTAAGCAGAACAGCCCTAGTTAATGGTAATGGGGTATCCCATCATCTTGGAGAACCATTTTAGGAGAGAGTAGAGACTAGAATTACTAGTTCAGGGCTGTTACACAGCCACTGCCATCATATACATCAGTATACCTTTACAAGTGTGATATTGCTTAAAATTAATGTAGACTAAAACTTGATTTTACATCTCTGTTAGAGAAAGTAAATACAAATCTAGTCAGTCCCTTATGGATTTTTCCATGTCACTTTTTGACTGCTTCAGCAATGAAAAGCAATGTTTTTGACAGCCTTCCTCTCCAGCAATAAGCAGTGTTCTAGAGAGTGAGGAGCTGTACAGAAGTTCAGACAAGTTCATGAGTGGTGACAGAAGTCTACTGCATTCTAGTTGCTACCCTTAATAAGTAAGATATTTTAGATACCTTAGTATTTCATAGAAACTCGCTCTCAAAATATTAAATCTATTAACAAACTGTATAGCATGTAATGCAAATTTCAGTTAATTGTGTTAAGATGACTTCAAGAAGAGAGGAAAAATGTCAAGCAGTCTGCATGAATTATGCTTTATAAAAGAAAAAGGAAGACTTTAATTAAATTTCTAAAATAAATGCACATAAGCATTTGCTGTCTGTCACAGGAGCTCAGTGTCTTTGAAACGTGATGCAACTGTTAATGAAACATCATTCTGGATTTTGTGTGATCATTAAAAAAAAGAAATGACAGTGTTCAGATTTTCATCTAATTTCAGACCTTTTCTGTGTGAACTGGATTTTAATTAAATGATTCTGGGTCTTTTGTTTCTCCCTGGTGTTTTTCCATTAGCTTAGTTACTCATTTCGGAATATGAAATATTTGTTTAAAACTATGACACTATGCTTGACCATAAACTACAGTACATGGATTGTTTGATAAATATAGTTGCTGTAGCAATGATATAAAGTCATGAAAAATATTACCTTCAAAATAAATTACCTTAATTCTATTAAATCTGATCATTTCATTATTACCATTTTTTCCAATCACATTTGCATTGTGTAAATCTACAGTTCTTAATTCAACTTGAAAAATATCCAAACTTGATTTCTTTCAAAATATTCTGCACAATATAATATTTTGCAGTAGGAAATGTTTCTGAATAATGTACTCCCGATCTAAAAGTATTTTATGCATGATGAACTCCAATCTTTACTTTTTCTACGCTTCAATTAATGCTACACCTGGCTTTCAGAAATGTACCTAAAATGAAGTGTTTGCATTGTATAAATAAATAATCACTCAACGTGTAAATGTCTGTGTGTTTCTCAGGGTGTAATGCAATACTGTTCTTCTTCCCCATTCGCTTCAATAGTCTTCACTGTGTCTGTGCTCTGTGAATAGGGTGCAGACTGCGGCGAAGGAGTTCGAGAAAGGAACCTGACCTGTGTGGTTCATAGAGGCTCCCTGTCTGACTTGTCTTCTGCTGAACATGTGGAAGAGGAGAAGTGTGAGGGCAGGCCTGTGACGGTGAGCGGACAGGGACTTCAAGTGCCTTGCTCTGTCCCCTGTCCAGGTAGGTCTTTATTCAGTTTGTAAACTGGTAGAATTAACCAAAGGAATCCAGTGGTAACTGTTTCAATTGCCATTGACATTTTTTTTCAAATTTCAGTTTCATCCCACATTCCTGGGTTTTTTCTCATCTGTTCTATTTGCTCAACTTGAGAATATCCAGACTTGATACTGTGTCATGACTGGTTGTAGTTTGCCTGAGGTCAGGCTTGCTATCAACAGAGAATAGAATGTGTTCTTTTGAAGGAATTATAATATAAACATTTCAGAGCAGCCTACAAGCATGCCTCACATAATCTCACATAAAATGCCAATTGTACCATTTATTAAGCAGATCCTTTCATCCCTCGGTTTCTTTGAGGGCTCTATGTTCTGGTTTATTAGACAGATAGCACATTTAAACAGCAAGGTTTCACACAAACCAGGACTTTTCTTTCTACATAACATACCATATGTCAGAATTTAGTCACTCCTGTCACTGACAGGAGAACATTCAAAGCTCTTCTTGTTCACTGGCGCTGAGCAATAGATTGATGCTTTTTTATTCTTTGAAATCAAACCCATAACTAAAGTTGGCTGTAGCTGACAGATATAGTCAGATATAGAGAAATACTGTACTGTAGATGCGTTTTGGTTGTCTTGGAAATCTGATCTGTGATTAAAGCATTCTGACTTTTTACCTACCTATACCTTCATTAGTTAGAAAAGACACCTACTGCAGCAGTGGGAAATATCTTGTAGAAACGTCCTCTTTTAAATTAAATATCTCACTGCTTTGCATCATCAGAACCTGTAACTTGTGTTTGGCATCACCTACACTCATTAGTCCTTACACCATCATGATCTCATTCATAAAACAATTTAGATATACTGTATATACACTTCAGGCAACAGTAAATGTGTTTGCCCTGGCTGTTTTCTATCCAGACTAGAAACAAAAGCCTAGATGAAGAAGACAGTTACTAAGCCATTACAATGCACAGAACTTGCATTAATGCCCAATATGGGCTAAGAGTCTTGGTGCTGAAGTAAATGGAAATAGGGGTAAAGGACAGCATGAACATTAGCTGATGAACTGGAAGGAACAGTTACACTTGCTGAAAAAGATCCCTGCAGAACAGGTGTCTGCTATTGATGGACCCAAGGTGTTTTGGACATCTTCAGAGATGTGTACTATTTTGTACTGTACAAAATGACATTTCTTGAGCTGCAATGCCTGCTGTTCATTACTGCACCCCCCTAAAAATGAATAGTCTTGATCAGAGCTCTTCATCTTGTCAATGAAGGTGATTGCCACTTGACAGAGTGGTCACTGTGGAGCTCCTGCCAGCTGACCTGCCTGGATGGGAGGAGTTTTGAGACGACTGGCCGCCAGGCTCGCTCAAGAGCTGTGATCATTCAGGCTGTGGAGAACCAGGACAGCTGCCCACACCAGGTCTTTGAAACAAGACCTTGTAAAGGTTTGTTCATAATAACAAAACACTGAGTGTGCAACTTTCATTTTTTGGGGGGTGGAGGGGGGAACAGTTGTGTGCTTTAACAGCTCTTGAATGATCCTTTGGTTTAAAAAAGGATTGTATTCCTACAAAGTGCAAACACGTTTCATGCAATGCAGACCCTTGGGTATCATAATCATTGAAAATATGCTACATTTATGAGTTTAATTGCTACTAAAAAATCTACTTACCACTCTGTAGTGTGTTAGATATGCTAATGTATAGATTTAACTGTGCTTTTAAAGGTAGTTCAGTGTGTATTTCATGTATCACATAAATTGGAAAATCCACATTGTCCTATCCTGTGAAGAACATCCCATTGATGAATGTCTTCAGACAGGACAACTTCCACGCTTACTGTTCAAGCAAGCCCGTCATCATGCCTGAATTGTAATGACCTCAGAGTGTGTTTTATTGGAGGAGGAAAATGCCACAGCTACGAGTGGAGGACCAGTCCCTGGAGAGACAACGTTCGCTCAGTCTGGTGTCAGCGCTCGGATGGTGTTAACGTGACAGGTGCATCTTGCTTACTCTGTAGGGCGACAAAAACAAAACCGGTCAGATGTTTACCTTTACATTTATAGTAAGTCTTCATTTCTCCCCATAGAAAAGACTAATGTACAGGAAGTAATATCCATATAAAGATAACTTTATCTATCAAAACACCAATTTTTCTGACTAATCTAGACAATAAGTGGTTGCTGCAGGGGAAAGCAGAATGGCTGAAATATAATAAAGGCTATGAGGAAGTAGATATGCAGTTAAAAGTGATGCTATCTTTTAAAAAATTGTCTCTCCTAAACATAAGCCTAGCAAGTGTAATCTCTCATTGCCTACAAGGCTTGAACTCAGGGCATTATTTTTGGATGTTTTGACATGTAATTTTCCATTTGAAAATTACAGTGTTCAGGGATTGATTGGAAGTTCAGATAAGCTTTGTGAGCTATTATTCTGTATGACACCACATGAATTTGGTTATCAATAAGGCACAGTAGTATCACTCGTATTTCCTACCTAGGAGGGTGTTTCCTTCAGACCCGTCCAGCGACTATCAGGCACTGCCACCCTCCCTGCACCAAGCCCTTCTCCCACTGCACTCAGGTAAATACTGCCTTCTGCCCGAATGGAACAGAAATTAAATTTCCTTGCCTTGAAAATATACTGAGTCCACTAAAACTGTGCGGAGTATTGTCATTTGAATATTAATTGAAATATGTGGCCTTATGCCGTGCATGAGTACCTTTACTGTGGTGATCTCATCGGGCTGCTGTCTTTTGCCTGTGTTGCATGCAATTTCCCACTTCATCTTGTATTCCTCTCTTTGAAAGGCTTTTGTCTAATAAGAATAAAAGCCAGTTCAGTGAGATTCATGTTTTTTCTCCAAAAAGTATTCCATGTTAACCTAGTCTAAATGCAGTCAGTTCTCTGTTAAAAAAATACATACACAATATTTGAGGCTGTAAGCTTGTGATTTTGTGCATTATTTTTGTGTGTGTGTGTTAGATGCCTGTCTCTGCTCTCATTGATCTTCATCACTTGGGCTGTGTGGATTTTAAACTACCAGCAGACATCTGTTTACTGCAGACCACCAAGCTTTTCTTTTTTTCAAAAAGAAATTATTACATACATTCTACCGCCTAATACATACCAATTTTACACCACATTAAACAGTACTAAAAACTGCAAATAAATAAAACTGAAATTCATATATTGGCGATCAAAGGGATTTAGCAGATGCCATAGTATTCAAATTATAAAAAAATGTGCCAGTGCAATTTTAATCAATTTCAAATAGAAAATGAATTTTGTTGTTCTACAGATTGAATAAATCTGCACTGAATGCATGTTATTTCAAAGAGAGACAACAGAAATGAAATGCACTTTATAACAAGTATTTTTGTTTGCATATGTCCTTGACTGGTGAAAGATACAGTATTTCATATAACAGTGTGTTTACTGCCACTCAGAGTAAAGTCTGCGTTACTACAGTACAAGGAAACTAAACAGCAAATTGATTTCATCTCACTTCACATGTTGCTGGATTTTTCTTTCTTGTTTTGACAAACTTTATCACCAAGCTGGGTGTCATGCAGAAGATCCGTTTGGGAAGATTTGTGTCTCAATGTCCTGACTGGAACAGGCAGCATCTACAGCCTTATTACGGCGCAGTGAATTCTGGAGTTTTCACTGTAAAGCAGTTTTTCCTTTTCCTTTCAGAGTGGTGTCTGTGGGTGTGAGAAGGGCTACACAGAAGTCATGACAGCATATGGCTTCCTTGATTATTGCACCAAAACTCCAGGAGCAGATAACAAGAAAGCAGATGTCAAAACAAGTGCCGGGAAGTTCAAACCTGGGACTTCAAACATTCAGGACTTCTTCAAGGAATGGTCTATTCAGCCTTTTGGACCAGGTACATTTGAATGTAATATGTTTATAATAATTGCTTACACTTATATAGCGCTTTTCTGGACACTCCACTCAAAGTGCTTTACAGGTAATGGGGACTCCCCTCCTCCACCACCAATGGGCAGCATCCACTTAGATGATGTGACGGCAGCCATAGTGCGCCAGTACACTCCCCACACACCAGCTCTCAGTGGGGAGGAAAACAGAGTGATGAACCCAATTCAGAGATGGGGATTATTAGGGACCATGATTGGTAAAGGCCAATGGGAAATTTGGCCAGGACACTGGGATAATACCCCTACTCTTTTCAAGAAATGCCCTGGGATTTTTAATGACCACAGAGGGTCAGACCCTCGGTTTTATGTCTTATCCAAAGGATGACGCCTTTTTACAGTACTGTGTCCCTGTCAATATACTGGGGCATTAGGACCCACACAGACTGCAGGGTGAGCACCCCCTACTGGCCCCACTAACACCTCTTCTAGCAGCAACCTTAGCTTTCTCAGGAAGTCTCCCAGGTACTGGCCAGGCTCACACCTGCTGAGTTTCAGTGGGTTCCCAGTTGTGAGTTGTAGGATGATTCGGCTGTATGTATGTTATATTTAATCTCTATCAACCTAGTTACTATGTAATGTAATGCTCTTATAACCTTAGGCAAGATCTTGTTGATGTACTGTATAAACCCCATAAACTGTAAATTAATGATTTGCATTGTTTGTAGGACTGTTTAATCATTCTCACTATGGTGTTTTTAAAAAGGTGAGCTCTGAGCAAGATACAGTTGTCTGTTGGTGTCTGTTGCTTTAGTGCACCACCTGAGACTATGAGAACAGAGGAAAAAGTTGATCATATTCTGCATAAGATAAGCATCTATAGTTTATTCAGGTCTTGTTTACTGTGTCAACATTGTATCAAATTGTGTGGACAGAGAGAAAATACACAATAATTTTAGATTAAGTTTGTTTTTCTTGCAAAACAGAACCAAATGAAGAGAATTAACCTTCATTGTTCATTGTTCATTGTTCTATTATTTTTGTGGTAGTATTGCAAGAGAACAAAGAAAACAAAGGATATATGGTGTTTATACAGTACATCACTGTATCTCACTGTTGACAGTTATCTAGCATGAAACCTTACAGCAATGCACCAGCACTGTGAGAAATCAATTCCCAGCAGGATCCTTTTCAGCTTTTGTAATGAAGCTAAGACAGATGTATGGTAATGTCATACTCGTGGACAGTGGAAAGTTATTTTTATTCCTTTAGTTTTAGAAGACATTCCATATGAACACATCTATTGCACTGTATTAAGCATACTTTCACCCCAATATTCCAGGATAATTGAAAATAATAGATAATAACACGTAATTAATAACAATAAGACTCATTAACCACTTATAAGGGGCTGGGCTTCCGGCTGTTCATTTTTAACTTTCTTTCAAGATGTTTCTTTTTCATAAACTGTTATGTAATGTTTTTTTTCTTGTATATACAGTATATGCAGTAACGTGCTAATGCGTTCCTCCTGTTTTGTGAATTCACTATTTACACACAGCCACAAATAAAACATAAGGCACAAGGGAGCCACATTTCCTGAGAATCCTAACTTCTGTCTCAGAGTCCACAGATACAGCAGCTACTGTGTAATACACCTTGCTCCAGGCATCACTGTGTTCTCCAGGGTTATGGATTTACCAAGATGGATGATCTATCCATAGTCATCCTGGGGTTTACAACCTCGAGAAAATACAGTCACTTTAAAATGCAGCTCATTCCCAGTGCAAACAACAGGGCCTAGAGTGATAATTATTAGCAGGTTCTCAATGGTGTTTTAAACAGCAGCTGCAACTAATAAAAAAGGAAGGAAATAGACCTGTCATACTGCACTAAGGCCTGATGTGTTTTTTCTGCTGCACAGATGGACGAATAAAGATCTGGGTCTATGGAGTGACAGCAGTTGGATTTGTGCTTATTATGTTCATTATTGCCATGTCTTTTCTGGTGTGGTGAGTACTTTCCCTGTGAGACATACTCTCAGTGGCCAGTGTGTTATGATGAAGACTGATTATGTAAAGTGTGACTTTGGTGTAGCTCTTCATTTCACAGATTGGTACTGGAAACTTTATTAAATTCACAAATTGTATTTTTATTGGTTTTAAAAAATGAAATAACACTGTATAGCGTTAAACCTACACTGTATAGTGCAATTGCTTCTCTGGTTCAGAACACTTCAAAGGTGTTGGGACAGCTTTCTTGTTACATTTGCTTTACAGTCAAGCAAGAGCAATTTGTATTTGTGATCATGAGATTATTAGATATGTATCAGATGATGTTTGTTTTCTTTTTGTGTAATTCCATTTACAGATTTAATTTTCAGATATTATTTTTTAAAATACCTTTGAGATAATACTGCCTGAGGTACTGAGCTTACCAAACCAAAAAAAAGGTGCAATCACCTGAGATAGTTTGCCTATTCTTTGTGTGTTCCAACACACTTTGTGTTTTTCTTGAGCATGTGGAATGGGTTATCAGTTGTATTTAAATCTGTAGATTGACTTGGCTAGTATAAGATTTTCCTGATAAGCTTTGGTTGGATTTACTCTACCATATATTTCATGTCATTTTCATGTTTGCATGGTGAAGTCCTGCCCAATAAATATGGAAACATTTTCTTCTACATAAGCAGACAAAATGTTTCTGCATAATTTAGAATTTGTACTGTTGCTGCCACCATTAAATGAATGAACGAGCCAGTCCCAGAGAACTCATAAAATATTTTAAGGTAATATCAGTATAATGGTTCACTTAATGAATGAATGAATAACTAAATGAGTTAAGAGTCAATGGAAACTTAATGTTCAAAGACATCATATATACATGACATGTATAATGACCTACTATCTTATTTTTACAGCAAAAAGCCTAAACAGAACACAAGTGCAACTCCACAGCAGAAGCCTCTGACCCTAGCCTATGATGGAGACCTGGATATGTGATCGATTGGTTCCATACAGAAGCCTGAACATCACGACCTCAAGAACAGTTCTAACTAGTTGAGTAAATGCACAAAATCCCAAGAAAACAAGCAGACATTTTAAAAAAATTATGCAACATTTTTCAATGAACAAAGGATTTTTACTAAAATTGAAGGGATACTCTTTCTTTGCAGTTGAGCTGTGTCCATTAAAAGACATTATTATATTTTCAACCAGTGTACAAAACAGTTGTTTTTTATAGTTTCATTTTATGGTAAGTAAAACTTTGTATACCAAATCATGAGGACAAGCTTTTGAATCAGCAAACACAGACATTATACTGGCATTCACAGGTGGTAACAGGACTTGTCAGTCCTTGTTCCTATACAGGTGGAGTCGTCTAACATTTGCCTTAGATGAATTTAGAAGAGGGAAAATAAGGCTGTCAAAGGCACTGTGTCACTGTGGCGTTAATGTGTATAACAAGAAACAAACAAAAATATACACAAGCTAGGAAAGTTTAAACAACAAGCCGAGCTGAAGTGTGTCATTATGCACTATATTAGTGCTTGTTCATTTTTTCTTTTCAGATCAAACTACCAGTTTTCTAGTGTTTACATTGTAATGCAAGGAAATTTGCTGTGAAACTGTGTTTTCAATGATAACTTTTTAGGTTGTGTCTGTACTTCTGGTTCCTAATCCCAAAATGCCAAAACCAGGCCTGCTGGTGTCTTCTCATGAAATGTGTTACTAGTGTGCTAAATAATGTACAGGTGAAAGGAAGGACAGTGGGCAATCCCATCTATCACAAGTAAGAATGATCCTAGGATGTTTTGTAGTTGATGAATTCGCAGTCTCCCCTTACAGTAGATCCAGGAGCAGAACAGGAAGTAAAGATAGCTTGCTGTTTGTCAGATCTAAGTACAACTACTTTCTTCTGAAGTAAAATCCACAATATACCAGCTTCTGTGTGTAAATCTCTGAAGCACAAATATATCCATATCTCTCATAACCATCCCTTTTCTTATATTTAATGAGGCAACTACCTAAATGCATTACTGTGATAGAAAGGGCTCATTTTGCCATTAAAGAGTACTTTTGATTCCGAAATCCTAATCTGATTTCTAGGCAAAGTCCCAACTAGATTTAACTGATATTTCAGATTTTCTTTTTTTTATTTTTCAGTTTTGCCTTAAATTTAACTAAATTTAACTAAATATCTAACTAAAATGAAAAGCAGATGCTGCATTTGCAGATAAGCTGTATTTGGTAAACAAAAACTAGCAATGGACTTAGGATTGTATAACATACTGTATTCAACATACTGTACAGTATGTTAGATTCCCTACATAGAATGTTTCAGCCACTTTTGTGTCTGAAGTAGAGATGTATTGTGAATTTTACGTGATACATGTCAGTTTCATATTTACAGTATTGAATTCAATTATAATTATGCATAGGAGAGAGACAAAATGAGAAAATCTTAAAAAATGTTTGATACCACAAGTAATTGCTGCCCTATCAAAATACCTTTGCTTTAAAATAATATGTTTTAAAGATCTTGCTCTCCAAAGTGACAAATACAATTTCTGAATCCTGAATCCTGAATACAGATGAGATATCAGTGCAATTCCTTTTTCCCCAACCTGAATATGAGGAGATCATGGTCGTTGAAAGATTTTCATCAGTTTGTGTAACAGGGCCTGTAACTTCAATCTTCCAGGCTGAAGTTTTCTGCTTTCTAGAGAAGGCTATTACCTGGAATATTTTCTGTCTAGTGGAGTAGAAAATTGTTCCTGAAACCACAGTGTCCACCATGAGGTGATTTACTGTTCAGTCAGCTCCTATTTTCTGTAAGAATCTTTGCTTGCACAAACCTGTAGATTTACCAAACAGACTATTTGCATGTTCTTCAAAAATGCACAAGAAGACATTCAAGGCTTTGCAAGTGGTTACTTGATTCCCAAAATACAGAATGTTATTGATTTCCGACCATGGCACCTACTAAATGTGTACACATGCATAACACTGCATAACACTGAATTTACTGACTCCTTTGGTTTAGCAACAGAGCATGTACTATTGTAGTGTGGGAGATATATTTTTGCAATCAATAAAGATACATCATATACAGTAACATAACATTTAAATACATGTGAACTGCTATCCTTTAGTCTTTACGATATTTACCAACACAAAAGTCAGTCCATCTACAATTGGAACCTTATGCTTCTGTGGTTATAATCAGCGAAAAGAGTTTGTACATTTGATTAACTTACAGCTTTTACATTATATAATTCTACAGATGCTATACTATATGAAGTCACCTACCAAAGTTACTGAAAACCTGCCAGCCACAGATAAAATATACAAAATATACAAAACATCATTCTCCATTCCAAAAGTAAAGTTTTATTTAGTAAAGTGATTTTTCTGAGAAGCTGGTATTATGGGGATCATTTCCACTCAAATCTTTGCTCTTGAGAAAGTCATGAGTACATACAAATGTGGGCTAATGGGCTGGATGGTACTGAGAAGAGTTTGGAGACCAGGGAAGAGTAGAGTCATATTTTCTTTTGAGAAAGTTGAGAATGATTTGTACATATTAATAGCTTTTGTTGACTATTCCTCTTTTAGCTATGTTTTGACATCCAGTTTATACCGATCCATTTCCAATATATAGGCTTATTTTGATTGGTCTGTTGAAATATGAAAAACAAAAAAAATCAATGAATGTTTCAGAAGTCTCCATGTTCTAAAGATTGTTACAGTAATATTTTTTTCTTTTTTCCTATGATAGTCAATTTGCTTTTTCAAGTCAGTTTGTGATACATATCACATGCATAAGTACATCTTTAAATTAGAATGTATTTACAGTATATTCATCATTTATAGGTTTATTATTGTTATTCTCTGTTAAGCTACAATAAACAATTTTGCTTTACTGGTAAACCAAGGTAATCAGTTATCAGTTCTCTGTGTGTAATAATTCTAAAGATCATTTTTAATTTCAACTATATCCAAATGTGGCCTTGCAGTTGTACTGTATGTTTTCTTTAGAACATTTTCTTCCATTCTTAAACATTTGTTTTATTGAATGTTTCAGTGTATACACTCTTAGGGAAATTGTGAAAGCGATTCTGAAGCTTTTGAGCTTCATTGTAATTCTGTCCTCACAACCTGAGTTCATTAGGTTTACAGTGCATCTTCCAAAAAGGTTTGTTAAGTCTCTCTGGACACTGAGTAGCCTGGAAATTTTATGGGTGATTTCTTTTGTTACTGTAAAATTTATGTTACAACTGTGTGTACTTAAATGAATGCATTATAGAAAAAAAATGCAAATAAATTGTGATACTCTGTGAAATAAAAGCGATCTGATCCCCTTTCTTGTTTGGCAGCTGGGAGAATTTCTCCCTGTTTTAATGGAACATAAAGTAAAGTTGCAAAGCATGTTACTGGGGAATGACAACTGACATACACTATCGTTTTTGCCTGTGCATTTTTTCCATCTATCTCTCTAATGTGTTCAGAGTACAGTCAGTTAACTGCTCATTTCCTACTCATATTGTGCTAAGAAGCTGCATTTTGGGTTCCAAACCCATGCAGTTCCATCTTTATTCCTGTTTGTGCCTCATAACAATGCCAAGCGATTCTTTGCACCTGCTGCAGCTGTGCCAGACCCATTTAGACCCATTCACTATTTGTACATGAAGGGGGTACAAATAGAGTCATCCTGCATTTGGCCTTTTGAATGTCTTGACATACCCACAAAACTTGTTTATGTGTGATATTGCTGGGTTAAAATCTGTCATAGCCTGATGGATAACGGCACAAGAGACCCATCATATGCCAGTGACTTCTAGATGACATCACCAAGTATGTCAGTATGCTGGAAGATGGGGCCTCCTAGGGAGTCTACATGCAGATGGAGAAGAAAATCACACATCTGTCTTCATATCCAAACTGTGTGAATTCAGGGATATTTTGTAGATGCTAGTTGGAGAACTGGCTGTTTGGAACTGCAGTAAGGGGGTACATCTTCTGCAAGGGGATATATTGAAGGACCCAGTAAAACCTTCTGACCCTGTTGGTCACTTTCAGAAAATGTTACAATATCACCTTGAAACCCTGGACTTCAGGGTCTGCCTAAAATAGGTTTGATCACAACTGGAGGAAGGCCAATAACACGGTGACAAATCTGGGCTTAGTCCAGTTTTACTGACAGTAGAGCAAGGGCAGGGCTAAATCGTTGCAATACTTACTATGTACAGTAAGTAACTCTCCATTTCACCCAGAATAGTATTGCTGCTATGACATACAGTAGCATATATATACTGTGCATGATAGCCTGCTTCACCTTAAATGTGCTCTATTTTATCTTTCATGCTTTTTATTAATATTCTTGCACTGTTCAATGTAGACTATCAGAACAAAGTCCCCTATAACATTATTCAACACAATTAACGGAATAATTTAAATGAAATTAAAAGCACTATTTTGGTGCATTGGAATGCTAGTCCACATTGAGGAAAGATCTTTAATAATTATCTTCAGCAGGAGGAGGGTGGAAGGATGGAGGGGATGGATTTTCTGCTATTAACCCATTAGACAGTATTCAGACAATTGTACAATGGGTTCAGATAATATTACAAACTGTGTTTGTCTGTTTTCTTTAAGAAGATCCTTACATCTTCATGTGTTAAAACAATTATACCGATACCCCCATTATTAACTACATGTCAGTAGGTTTATACCGATGAGCCACTTACTCTGACCCAAGCTGTACACAAGTCTACAAGACAGAATTTATATCAGACCAAAACACATCTGCAGGTTGTAACACTTAATGCAATTCATATTTCTTTCACTAGATGGCTCTGCAAGCCTACCCTTGTAGTTATGGCCTTGATATTTTTCATATGCCTGGGTGTTCTACCAGGCTGGTCAGTTGAGGATGAGTTCTTATTGACGATCATAATCTATAATAAGAAGAGATGAAGTACCTGTCCAAATGCAGTACAGCAGCCTGTTTCCCAAGATTTGTCCCACAGCCCTCCAGGTTAGAACCCTAACCAGTCCTCCACCCTCCCTTGAATAGCTAGCCCGGGCCCTTTTCGATTGTAGTTAGCTCTCATTCAGACTTTTCTCTTTCAAACCTTTCAAACTGAAACTGACTGAGGTTCAGAACTTTGGTATTATCAAATTATTGCAAAATAGTGTAATTGCAGCTCAATTTTATTGCAAAAATCAGCACCATAAAATGTTTAAGAGCTATTATATAGTGTTACTTAAAATGTATTGAAAAGATAAATAAACATTTTGTTTCAATTTATGTGATTCACCAACTTGAAATTGGTAAAATACGGTATAGTACAAGCATAACAGAAGTAATACCTTACTGTAAAGGCAATATATATTGTATCGCTTTAAGGTTCAGGTGGGCACCCTCGCCTGCTGCCTACTGTAACGCTTTGGGGTTCAGGTGTGCGCCCTCGCCTGCTGCCTACACAGGTCAGCCCCACACTGTCGGGGACGTGAACCCAGGCCTTTGGCATCACTCAACAGGGACCAGGCCTGGTGAGCTAAAGAGAGATCTCCCTTCAGCCTAGTGGCTGTGGGCCCTGCTATCACAGGGAAGGGCGGTGACGTCACCGCTCTGGTAAGTCGGCTCTTACACACTCACTTTCAGCCGTAAGCGTTACAATATATATGTAACAAAATTAGCATCACTGCTCCCAACATATGTTATGAAGAAATCATATATTGCACATACTGTATGTACAAATTAGAATTTTCTCTCTCCCCGTGATTGTAAAGCATTCATGTGAACAAGTTGTATTGTCAAAAAAGTCTAAGCAGATACAAATGTTTTGACAGATTGTTATCTTCAACTTGTCCTGCTGCAGGTTGTAAGGGTACAGAGATGACCTCTCCTGTTTGTCTGATATCAACCTGGTGTGCTCAGGTTTGGCACTTCTTTTCTGTGCTTCATGGGCAAAATTTTATGAGTCACAGATTTAAGCATTTTCCCCTGGTGTGCTGAAATATATTCTGACATGCTTTACCAAGACAGGCAAGGAGCTACAGAGACAATCTCTTATAAAACCTGGTCTTTGGGATACAGATACATTTGATTCCCATATTCTTATTTAATTTATGTGGTTAACCATGTCAATTTCATTTAAACCAGGACTGAATTAAAATAGGAATGTCACTGCCACCCCAGCAAAGGGCTAGCTCATATTGCCACCCTGTCACCATTAATTCATCCAGATGAGCCCCTCAGAGAGCACTCCTGTGTCCTGCACATGGCTTCATAACTTTCTACAGCTTGAAAAACACTTATCTTCATTTTAATCAGACTTTATCATTTATTAGCACTGAGCGATTCTATTAAAGTTAAATGTGGCTTGACTGACTTGGAAGAGGCAGGAGACAATGTGCTGATGAATATTAAGCATGCTTATAAGTAAAGAGAAAATGAAAGTCCTGGACCTGACAGGTTCACTTATTTTGGTAGGGAATGATGTGGAAAAATAGACTGAGCAGACAGTGTCCTGTTAATTTCTACCTAAAGGTGTATTGTGTTCAATCATGTTTCAACACTGCAATGGGATTTAAGGGCGCATTTCTAGAGAATCAACTGCTAATAGAGGAATGCTGTACTCAATAGTTACAAAGATTTTTTTACTGGGAAATTTGAAAATAATCAAACAATGTTTTGCTTTTCTAAATCTCTTTTGGCACCACAAAGACCTTGTGTTACATAATTCCTCTGAGAATTCAAATTAGCCATTGTTTTGGATTGCCTCTTTATCTCTCATGTTACTGTATATAGTGGAAGTTAATTTAAGAAGTTCAGGTGGGTAGCTGCGTCAGCATGCATAGACTGCAAAGGAACAAGTCATAGGTTTATTCCAAGCTGAAAAGAGAAAAAAGAAAATGCAAGCTTTCGGCTGTGAGGCCTCCTTCGGGTGTAAGGTGCTTACATTGTGTTTTCTTTCTTCTCTTTTCAGCATGGAATAAACTTATTACTTGTTAATTTATGAAGGAGATTTTTTTTAGGAACATAGTTGTGGGAATTAAAAAGGTAAAACACACATACAGTAGATGAAACTGTGTGGTTCAGGTTATTTGGTCCAGGCTGTTTCTTTGATTTTAGAAACATCATTGACACTATCTTAGTTTCCTATTCATCAAGATTCTGCAAGATCCTAGCCACTCCATGAGTAAGTCTCTCTTTCCATAAAGATGTATAAAATATAGTTATGTGACCATAAGGTGGCATCATGGGCTTACTTTAAAACAATGAAAACTAAGAAGAGGTTTCTAAGTAAATGTCTTGTTAAAGCCTTGCCACAGCGCTCTTCTTGTTGACATGAGTTTGCAATGAGTGCAGCGCTGCCTGAAGAGGTGTAGTATGTGGACCCCCAGTCTGAGAGTGGAGGGTAAGAAGGGAGTCGCAAGGCTAGAGTGGGACTGTGAGCTGTGTCAGGGCTGAGTAGAGACAAAACAGAGCGTCTGCCACAGTGAGCAGCATATGTAAAATTACCATAAAGGTTTTTATGATTTTTTATAAAGCATAATGTACTACTAATTAAGAAACACTCGGGATGCCGCTTTTGTTAAGAGCAAACAAATAAATATCAGAGTTGATTAAAAACACAAGGGTATCATTTCAAATTGCGATTTACCATTTCTGTGTGTTGAACATTATAATAACAAATTCTTAGCATTTATAGAGCCCCAGGTTCCAAAGCTCTTTACACACAGCAAAGGAGGGGAAGCACTGAAGTGTAGCACCAGCAGCCCCACTGCACAGCTCAGGCCAGGTGGAGAAGTGAGAATTGTTTCCACTACTGAAATAGAGTTGGAAATCTGTGGAGGCCAGACTGTGCAAGCCCAGGGCAGAAGACTCCCTGCTCTTTCAAACAGTGCTATGGGAACTTTCATGGTCCCAGGATGATGACCAAGTAGATGGCACCTCTGACAGTGATGTCTGCAATAACCATTCTGGGATATTGGCTCAGGAATTCTGTCCCAGAGGGAAGAACGCCACCTACTGTTCTACCAACAGCGCTTGCAGCACCATCTTGGTTTTCTTTGATGGTTTTCCATCAGAGATTTCACCAGTAGCTCCTGTGAGCTGAGGTGATCAGATTTAAAGGTAGTTATGCTGCCATCATAGAAGAAATATTCTAGAAGGTAGAAAGTTCATTTTACAATATTGGTGGATATTAATGAGAGTTTGAGAGCACTTATTTTTTTTAAGAAAAGGAGTAAGACAAGCCCTAATTTGAGCAGACAGACTGAGGTGAGTCAGTGACCAACAGGTGAGTTTAAAGGGTACTTCTTAGTTTTGTTGTTTTGGTTGCTAGGTGCCATTCACTCCAGTATTTTTCTCCTTTGAAGTCTAATTAATTACCTTTGAGATCAATGGGATTTGTAATTAGCATATAAATTAAATTCCTTATAGTGGGATTATCCAGTGAAGGAAAACAGTTTTGGCACAGATTTCCATAAATTTATCACAGAAGCATCATCTGATACTTTGCAGTCTTTCACTTACATGTAGATATTATTTGTATTTAATGTAAAATTACAATAGACGAGAGATAAAGGTATCCAAATAATGTATTGCAAATGTGATTCATGTAAATGAGGGGTGGTGGTTGGCACTGGTGCTCTGTGGAACTGTGTCCCTGGGTTTAGTTCCTGGGGTGTTATATGCGTGCATCTTCTCCCGCTTCTCATGTGGGTTTCCTCCTGCAGTGGACTGGTGTCCTGACCATGGTGTGTCCTGCCTTGCGCCCGCTGCTTGCGGGGATAGACTCAGGTTCCCCCGCGACCCTGAGTTGGAAGAAGTGTTTAGAAATGGATGGGCGCACAGTACAGGTATGTACTGTTATATCACCGATCACACCAAAGGCACGCAAAGCACTTTATATGTACGAGTCCACTCCACCACTCACTGAATGTAGCCTCACCTGGATGTTGCAAGGCAGCCATTCCGCACTAAAGATCTGAAAATTACTCTAGGAAGACCGGATTGTTTATTTGAAGAACCATAGTATGTATTCAGGCGTAGACAAATGTGAAACTGTTTATTGAGTGTTTTTTTTTTCAATCTAGATGAGAAGATACACCGGGTGACTTTCTGACTTTCTATACTTACATATAAGTGTAAGCAATTATTATTATTATTATTATTATTATTATTATTATTATTATTATTATTATACTTTTTAGGTGATATAGTTATAAAACATCTAGTTTATCAGTGTCCCACGATTCAGTGTAGAGGATATAAAATATCCTTAAATATTTTTCTCAAAATATATGGACTATTTCAAAATAATAGACGTATGAAAAACACAATTAATTTGAGCGAGTAAAAAGGTAATGCCACCGAAAAGATTTCCTAGATAAAAAAGTGACCCTGCGTCTTTAACAAGACTTCGATTTGCTCAGAGCGGAAGGCATGGGAGGGGTTATAAGTTTCTTACGTCTCCAGATTTGAACAGCCTCTTAACTTTTTATCTACTATTTTTTCACCCGGCACCTCAGCGTTTTCCAAGCTCGTGCGTTTAAAGTTGCATTCAAAAGCGACTGGATGACCTCGAGGTGTGGATGAAGGCGAGCGCGCCGCGCAGCTGGTCTGGACCGTCGGGGGAGCTGAGAAACTGTGCGCTGTGACTGGCCGCTACGAGACTGCTCCTCTCTGCTTCAAGAACAGTGGTGAGTCGCTGTGCACACATCACTGTAGCAGAGGGAGTCCAAAGGCGTCTCGTAGAATTACACCGTAAAACCGTCAAACGTGCTCACACGTTATGGGTTAATCTTACTTTTTAGTTTTGCTTTGTGATCGGATAATGAAATAGATCCGAAAACATTTGCTGTTATTTGCTCTTCTTGTTGTTCTGCCCCATCCAGACCTTATTGCTGTACTGTATATGATTGACATGCCTTAATCGGAAAACGTTCAAAGTTCTTTTGGAGTCTACTTAACCACATCAGTGTTCGCGTTTTAGTACACAATTGTGTAAAAACAGTCCAAACAAAAGTAAGTTTCTATAGGTGAAACTTGTGTAACGTACTGCCTTACGTTATTTTGAGACACAGAAGGTTATCTTACGTTTATCTTATATAAATTGAATTAAAGTCCTTGTCAAAAACATAAAAATTCCTTCGAGGCACTATTAGATATTACAACTCCAAATACCTCTGCTCTGTCATTATTGCTTCTTTTCTGGGCATAATAGTGTTAAATTTTATTTCTTCACAAAAGGACTCAGTTGTGGAGACCAAGCCGGCTCATTTGCAAGAGGCCTCTCTTCAGGGGATTGATTAGCATGTTTGTTCCCAAATTCTGACACCAGCCTGTCCAGCTGTGACGTTGCTTGACCGATCACGGTGCATTTGGCTCTCCTTGCTTTTCACTTCCTCTTTTATTCCGATGAACTAGATGGAGAATTCTGTTTCCTTTTGATCAAAATCCCTAGCTGGAATTTACCTAGAACTACAGTATAGGGTATTAATTAAACAACCCCCCACACCACCACCCCCAAAAAAAGCAGATACCTTACTCTTGTTTTTAATATCCAATGACATTTCAAGGGGCTTCATTGTAAGTAACAGCTTGCACAGGGATTAATAGTTCCCCAAGAGCTTTACACTGAAACAGAACGTGCAGTGAAAAACAAGGTCTCCGTCATCTGGGGGCTCTCTTCTTATTTGATCTTAATATTTATTTATTTTCAGAGCTTTAAGATCCAGTGCCGCTCCAAATGAAACAAGCGCTACTTAAGCCGATCTGTTTTTCACAGATAATGGGATCCTGCTTCAGGGAGGTACCTGAAAACTATAAATAGAAGGATTTAGACGCAGAAGATGCAGAAGTCTCAAGGACTCTTTTTGTTAAATCCCACAGAAACACTGCAATGGCATCATCTATGGAGAGTCTGGTGAGCGATGAGACCCAATACCTCAAGTCATTCCAGCTGTTCTTGGATCGCTCATCTGAACACCAGTGCATGCAGAACTTCATTGACGGGACTCTCCCCGATATACTTGCAAGGTAATGCACACTACACTAGGGAGGGTGCATTGTTAGCAGTTCCCGTTTTCTAGTTGGATGGTACCTGTACCCATTGATACAATAATACCATTATTTAATTAAGTACTTATTGTTATGAATGTTTATACAGTTGTATAAAGCAGACTAGTGTTTTAACGTCACTGAGCTTGAGCAAAATATTTTTAATCTGGCATACCATGTGGGTGTGAAGTCTCATTTATTGAAGCTTTCATAAAAATAAAGCCCAGCTTTTTCCAAAACAAGAAACATTCTAGTTTAAACCAAATATTCGCTGAACACCTTAAAACCAGCCCCCATTTCTTTTTTAAAAAGACCTTCAGCTTGTATAAGAACTGTTGCAGCAGTGATGTTTCATGGATGTGGAAGTGTTGTGCTCCTTCTTTACCTTCCCCCTTTCTGAAAATGCTTAAAGGGATTATTAATGCAAATCTGCACTCCTCTGTTTAGGGGATGATGTGTTTCCACAGCAAAATGTCATTTCAGCCCTCTCCTTGTGTGTGTACATCAAGTCACAGCTGCCTACCTGTTACTGTGTAATATTTGGGTCATTGTCTCTAGCTGTTTACTGTGTGTACCTGCTAAAGTAACAAATGTCTAACCTGCTCCCAGTTCTTGTTGCGCCACTGGTTTACTAGGATGTTGAAAGGAAAGTTAATTCTCTGCTTCATAACAGCTGAACAGTCACTGTAGATTCTCTCACCAAGCTGCAGGTGCTGCTGAGGAGTTCCTGGGTGTGAGCATTTGCTCGGGATCATGGTTTGAGTCGTCAGGTGGAGACAAGTCTTCTGGAAGCGCAGGGTTATGGGAGCATAGAACAAGCTACTCAGCCATATTTTTGAAGCCCATATTACAAGCCTTTCCAGAAATGGCTGAGATCCACAGATTAATTAGCTACTGATGACTAAATGGCTTAGATTGTTTTAATGGCCTTCTCTTGATTGTAACTGTTGTGTTCTTTTGATCCAGCACTGCTGTAATAAGGCCTGTGTGACTGGAGAGCTGCCCAGTCATCTAGGAATGGAAAAGCAGTGGAACACTGCCTGTCCAGTTTAACAGGATTGATCAGGAGCTGTCAGTAGTCGATCAGAGGATTTAAAACCTGTCTGAGAAAATTTTCAAAAGTGCCTGCTGGGTCTGGTCCTCAGCATAGCACTCTTAAACACAGTCTACCCAATGAATTGGTCTTCAGCTCCTAAGATGCTACAGATTTCATGTTACCTGTAAATGCACATTTCTACTTGACTTTTTAATTACAAAACTTTAATGTTAATTAGTGATTGGTAAAAACAAAAAAGCAATATACTTGTAATCTTATACTGTGCAACACTTTAAAGAATTTAGCAATCCCTTTATACCATAGCAAGGACGGACCTTATTAAAAGGTAAAGTAAAATTAAACATTAAAAAATGTTGGAATGCAGTACAAAAGCCACTTTTATCAGCATTTCATTCATTTACAGAAGGTCTTGACATAAACTGAAGTTCACCGGTGTAAAGTACAAAACGTTGTGTAATGCAAACTGAATGGTGGCCTGATGTTAGGACTCAGTTATGAAGCACTGAATTAGCAGCAGCAGCATTCATTCTGAATATTGCCCTGCAGCACACTATAGCCACAAGGTAGTAAAGACAAGGAAGAATGCTTTCAGCACCTAGTTGGTCATTCTGTTTTTTCCTAAACTTATGCTTGTTACACAGAGGCTAAATGTTACAGATACCTGTTTCAAAATAAAATGTTTCAAAATAAAAGGCCATTTTCAGCTAGCCTTTGATGGAAAGATTAAGCTGAGCTCTGAGAAGTATAAAAGAAGCTTAACATTTACAAAATGAGTGTAGTTGTTTTTCCTGTGGTTAACAATATTAAATGTCAACACTGTAAAAGGTGTGCCATGTCCTGGCGATCCTACTGGCATTGTAGACATTTCTGTATTTTTAACTACTGAGGAGTTTTGTATGTACAGTAGTCATTTAATAAATTTTCTTCTGTCTGACTTCTGTTGAAATTTACATGTGTTGTGTACTGTTTAGTAAGGTACACATGTAACGCCAGTAACACTTTTTGTGTGCAGAGTTGGAGATGGAAAGTCCAGCCTGGATGTCATGGGCATTGGCAGTGGAGGAGGTAAGTCCGGATATTTGTGTGTATTAAATGACAGAATATTTATTGCACATATTCTGTGTCTTTCATAAGTAGAGTAAACACTTCTCTTGATAACACTGGGAACTGTACAAATAATGTTCAGTAAAAGTTTTTAAATCAGCCTGTAGTACCAACTGTTGTACTGTATCTGGCGACCTTTGCTTGGGCTGATAAAAACCTATCTTGAAACGTTACTGTCCTTGGACACTGGACTCTCTATTTATTAGTCTGGAGTCAATAAAACCAAGCTCTGCTTTCCAGATCCACAACAATTTTTGTCCACTTGATATTTTCTTTAATTAAAGCCAAGAATGCTTTCTCTGGCTTCCATGAACAACCAGAATTAGTTAGGAAAAGTTCTGTGATTGTGCTGTGTAGTTCATGGTCTGATCTTTGGGACTAGGCTGTAGCTGGTAAGCTGGACTGGAGTGCTTCTATGTGCTAAAATATTTACCCCTTTTGGAAGTGGTTTGGTGGAAGTTAAAATCAATCAACTGTTCTATTTTAGTTTCAAATGTATTCTACATTTTCAATATAACCCTAGTACCTACTGTAGCTGTAAAATAACACTTCCTTATAATTCTTGCAGCCTATGGCCCATAAACTACTGAGGATAATTCATTTTTAGGTGGGCTGGCTGCTGGAAAAGCAATACTTATTAATGCAATTTTGTACTCACATGCTTGGCAATCAATACATTCTTAAAATTTTCATTCACGTCTAAGATCTTGGTTAATTCCCTAATGATATTAAAGATTTAGAAAGATATTTCACATGTGATGGTGTGAAATGTGCTTGACTCAAAGTGCAGTATCTTGAATATATTTTGAAGCCCTGAATAGAAGTGTTAATTTTTTTCCCCCTAATTATAATTAAATCTTTACATCACCTTAGAAACTATGAGCACCTGCTGGAATAAAAACTGGAAGTACTCACTTCCTGAAATTAGAAGACATTCTATTGTGCGGCACAAAAATAGTTTCAAAGAAAAAATCTGATTTCTGGCCTTTGCAGTTTGCAGTTGTTCCCCAGAGTGACGACTGTGAGAGAAATGTCCTGAGAACTCTGAGACTCTTCTCTTTTAAGAATATATTTGCATTGCCTTGATTCTTAATTCCTCTACTGTCCTTGTTACTGTGACTAGCACAGTTTCAGTATTATTTATTCTGCTCCTGTTCAGGTGAAATTGATCTGCAGATACTCTCCCAGATGCGTCTGAAACACCCTGGAGTTTTGATTAATAACGAAGTAGTGGAACCGAGTGGCGGCATGATCCACAACTACAAAGGTACCTCCTTTAGGCTAGTTCATATCCAGGTCTTTCTAACTTGTAACATGATCACGCATATATGAATTTTCCACTCATTGAAAAACAGAAATCGTGACACCACAAAGGGGATGTGAGAAATTAGGATGTGTGATATAGCCTGTGTGTGACAGTGGAGCATTGCTTTTGCAATGAACTTTACCTTGCACCTGCATGACCTTACATTCAGCTTTGCTGTACTGTCTTTAACACTGATTTCACATTGCAAGCTGGAAGTGGTTGTGGTTTTATGGTAGTAATTTCCCATCCTTAAAATAAGTTCTAGGAATGAAAAAGGGCCAAGAAAAGTGCAAAAAGCATGTTAATCCCTCTGTCGCAGACAATGTCATCCAAGAGCTTCTGTTCCTCTATATTGTTCCATAAACTTCTCTATTTACTTGTGTGAAAAAATGAAGTACATTTTTTTACATAATTGGCTTGATTAACTTTTGATTAACTGGTTATCCAGCCAAATACATTGTTTTTTCTTTAATTACTTCTTACAAAAATATAAACGTATTATGGGATTTAGCTACATATATTACATACTGTACTTATTACCACTTCTTTGCATTATCCTATCCTAGTTTTAGTGTCCAAGACTCCTAACCTCGAGAACATCAACTTTACCTGGAGGAAGATGACATCGTCCGAATATGAAGATCACCGGGAAGAGAACAATGTCGACACAAAGATGGACTTCATTCACATGATTCAGGTTCCGGCAGCCACCCTTGCACTGCTCAGTGTGTTTTTGTGGGGGTGTCCTATACTGCTTGGACACCCCGAGCTGTTCAGTAAGTGGGTCTCAAGGAACTGACCCAACCAAAACAACACCTTAGCTCTTCTCAGCTAACCTCTTCTCTTCGTAACGTCCCTGGCAGTAATACACCAGGGCGGCTAAGATGTGGACCAGTATCAAAATTAAACCACTCTAAATGTGGGGCAAAAGAACTTCACAGTGTCCGCGGGTCGGTCCTTGTGTCTCCCCCCTAGGCTGGCATCTGGAAGAGGTTCAGCTCTCGTTCCAGGCTCCCACTCCCGGTTCTGGAGGCGCAAACACTTGTTGGCCCATAATTCACTTAATGGGTTTAAGTTGAACTCTTAATTGTGTTCCATTCCTAAACATGTAGGAAGTTTTACTCTGTTTTATAAGTATAATAAATTTAAGAACTTTGAAAACTATAGTCACAAAGGAACAAGTAATAGGTTTATTCCATGCTGAAAAAAAGAAGAAAGAGAACACAACGTTTCGGCCGTGGAGCCTTCTTCATGTGTGAGAGAGACAGGGCAGTAGTCAAAGGTAAAGTAGTGGGAGAACAGATTAAACAGATTAAAGATCTCTCCAAACCCATTGTTTCTCATTTCACCTCTGACGGCCACAACCACTCTAATCTCTCCGTCTGTGTTCTCAAAGACGGTTTTCCGAACTCATACATCAGAAAGACCACCGAAACCAAAATTATTCTGCAGCTAGGATCACACATTCTCCCTTCTCTTAACGACAGACTACTGTTCTTTTAAATTTTCTCCATTCATTGGAAGTTTCATTTCAAACCTCTCTGCACCCATTCTGACTTCACACCTCTTGATTGGCCTCTCTTTCTGTCCCCTGCTCCCACCTCTCACTCCTCCTCCCTCTCAACCTTTGTTCTCCCGCTACTTTACCTTTGCCTACTGCCCTGTCTCTCTCACACCTGAAGAAGGCTCCACGGCCGAAACGTTGTGTTCTCTTTCTTCTTTTTTTCAGCATGGAATAAACTTATTACTTGTACCTTTGCAGCCTACGCATGCTGACACAGCTACCCACCTGAACTATAGTCACAGTTTGGCACTAGCAAAATATTTTTTGCTTCTGCAAAGTAATGGAACCTATTCAGCAGTATCTCGCCCTCCACTTAAGCCTGCAAGATATTTTTCATTGACTGCAGGCTGTGCTTGTGGGGGACGCACAACACGCTTGTTTCAGATCTGGAACGCAGGTCTGGTGGTTGTCACAGCCCTGGTTTTCTGGAAAGGAATGCAGGTGCTGTTTCATGGGAAGTTCACTGCTGCTCCTACCCTGAGTGTGTGCTCCAGTCACCCAGGCCGACACTGCAGCCGTGCTAGGCCTGCCCTTTCACAACAAAGTGCCTCGGTGATCTTCCACAAAGGTGGCAGATGACAAAATGGGAACCTTTTGGTCTCGATAGATGGTCTAGACAAAAAATCGCTTTTCAATGGGAAAATGATCCAAAGCACAAGGCCAAAGCTGCACTGAAGTGGCTTAGGAATAAGAAAGTGCATGTCCATGGCTAACATGGCTTGAATCCTGTTTAGGATCTCTTGAAAGACCTGAAAACTACTGACCATAAGTGATCCCCTACCCACCCAAGAAAGCTTGAGCAAACTCGCCTGTAAGGATTGGCAACAATTGCACCAAGCCTGTGTTGGTACAGTAGTTGCCAAAAAAAGACTTGTGACTGTAATTACTGCTAAAGTTGCTTGCACCAAACAACAACCTATTTCCCTTTTTTTCTTTAGTATTTGTTGATCTGACTTATGTTACCCTTGGACGTTTGAGCATTCAGGTTTTGAATAAAATATTAAGTATAAAAATGTGTGTGCAGCATTTTGTAATTTTATTGTGGCGCACATATTGATTGGAGGGGCACTGATGTGGCACTTCCTCTACGGTATACACTGCATTCTGCCTGAGTAGGAACAGACACTGTATCTTCAGCTACTGTGTCTTTAAATACCAGTATTAACAGTAGACTTAGGTTTATATAAGTGGGGAAAAGGCTATATTCATTTTTTTTTATAGTGTTGAACAATGCTTTGTACTAGCTAAGATATATTGTAAAATCTTTTCAATTTTTTAATAACATTTATATTAAGTACTGTATGTTCGCGCAATTCATATATTGAGCACATATGTGTTGTCTGGTTCAGTACCAAATCTACTTCAGTCTTTTATTTCTCTTTCTTAGACTTGGCCAGTACGTTACTTATAATAAATTGAAAAAAAAAATAAAGGAATCTGCATTTTCGTTGTTTTTTGTGTGTAGATGCTGTATTACGTGTCTGATCCTGGCGCAACGGTCAAGTTTTTCCGAAGTCTCCTGAAGCCGAATGGAAAACTCCTTATCATCCTAGTGTCTGGTACAGTATCCTCAGACATATGTTTTATTTTTGACATAACCCAGTGTAGGAATATTCCCCTAGCCATTACTGCAGCAAATGGCTGGTTTGATATGATTGAAATTGGGTATAATTGCTGCTTTTTAAAACTGTTCTGTAATGACTTTTTAATTACATTAATTTTTACAATTTTTTTGCATCACATTTCAAAAGGAAGAGGGTGGTGACATGTCATGGAAAGAGTTACAGAGATGCTTTTCCCCAGATGTTAATTTATACCTAGTTTTCACTGTGCTGTGCGGAAGGGATACATATGTTATCGAAGATGTCCTTCTGTTGTCAGTGTGAAGATGCAGCTCTCATCCTCCTCACCTTGCAGTGGGAGATTTAAAGAGCTTGATGGGGGTGTTGGCAGACAGCTCTCTGCAAGGGACAATTTATTGCACAATGGACAAGGAGCCATTGCTACCTATTTATCATCTTGTTGAAAAGCTTTGTACTTCTTTGTGTTTCAGTACTTTAACAAAAGAGATCACTTTATTGGCCATATACAATTTCTTGTATTAGGAATTTATCTTTTCGCATACCCCAACTTGCTCTCCATGAGACACACAGACAGGGAGAGAAGCTTGAGATCAGAGTGCAGGGTCAGCCATTTATACGGCGCCCCTGGAGCAGCTGGGGTTAAGGGCCTTGCTCAGGGGCCCAACAGAGTAGGATTCCTCTGCCGGCCGCGGGATACAAACGGGCAGCCTTCCAGCCACAGGTCCAGATACTGTACCTAGCCACAGAGCCACCGCACCGCCCTCGCCACTGCATCGCCCCCAAAACACCCTCAAAAACATTTATATTTAAAGCTGATAAATAATTGGTTAAAAAATATTCATATTTCATTTTGTCTTCAATTTTCTGTGTGGTAATATAGAACAGCTAAAGCTTTATAAAGTGTTCTCTTCAGAACACTGTCTCTGTTTTCTGAAATCTAGCGTCACTCATTCTCTGTTTCTCTGATACTGCTGATGTCTTTATTTTTGCCGCTTACTTGATGGTGGTGTGAATGTCCTCTGTTCTTTGCAGTGCTGAGTGTAGGGACGCAGGGCCTCAGAGTGGGCACACAGTGCATTGCCCTGCTTACCCTGGTCTGCCCACAGATGTTTTATAGAAAATATGCTTTTATCCACTGAAGGTGCAAGTGGATGGAGTGAGCTCTGGAAGAGATACAGGAAGGAGCTGTGCAAGTCTGAAATAAGCCAGTACATCTCCACTGGGGACATCAAGGACTATCTGGATGCAGAGGGTATAAAATACCAAAGTTATGAACTTGCCTCCAGCATGGACATAACAGAGTGCTTTACTGAGGGAGATGAGAAAGGAGAGCTCTTGCTTGATTTTCTCACAGAAGTGCTTAACTTCAATAAAACAGCCTCGCCGGATCTTAAAGCTGGAGTGATGGCATTACTCCGTGACCCTGTGTGCAGCACGGAGATAGACGGAAGGATTATTTTCAACAATAACCTGGGTGCAATAGTGGTTGAACCATGACCACAAATGGAGCAATTGTGTTTATGCTTAACCTCAAAATATCCTTTCCTTGAACTATGTTATCAATGTTTCATCAGTAATTAACCAAAAGACAAACACTGATTTTAGTGAGGCACTTAAACAGGAAAGGGTTGAAATAGTCATAAAAAGTGATTTTAACATGATTAATGTTTATTTTTCACGCAGACAATGTTGTAAAAAATGGTGAAAAGGTAGGACAAAGTGGACATACAGTATTATGCAAATTCTGTGTTTTTGGTTCATAGGTGTCATGTAAAGATGAAATGATACCCAATAAAGTAATATTCTGATATGCTGCAATATCAGTGGTTGTCAATTTTAATAGAAAATGTGAATGTGTTTGAAATATGTGGAAATCAGTGTGGCTTCTAAGAAGGTAATCTCATATGACAAAAGCTTACTAACAGTATCTCAATGAAGGTAATAAAGACTGCTCTTGTTGGCACCACAGCCCAATTTCAGGCTTCACCCAGTGCAGTGTGTATAAGATTCTGAAACTGGTATTATTGACAATAGAAGCAGTATAGAAAAGGTTAAAAATATTAAAAATTAATTTCAATTCTCTGTATGAGAGCAACAGTCTAATAGTAATCTTGTGAAGAACCTTCTTGCTTGTACAGGTTTTCAATCTGGAGAGATGAGAAAGGCGAGCTGCACATTAGCACGTAATAGTTGCAATGGGTGTGGACCTGCACAGCTGTTTGAGTGAGTGCACCACTGCAAGACAAGACATCAAACACGATAAAACATCTGTATCCCTTTGAAACCATTTTGTGTTAATCTTGCTGTTCTTGAATAAACCTTAACTGCTGTGCTTGGATTATAGTTGTTTTTTTTCTTGATGCTGTTTTGTTTTCTCCAGTTCTTCCTTTTTCAAGGTAGCATGTACAGCTATTTTATTTTTTTTGTAAAACAGTATGATGCAGAAAAATAAGGGGTGGTTGAGTATCAGGAGCACAGCTCAGGTGCTGCCCCAGGGGATCATGCCTGAGCCACTGGGAAACGGAAGATGCTAGGAGCCTGAGATAATTGTTTACCTCCTGGAAGCTGGTTACCTTGTACCCCGCAGAATCGAGGACACTGTGAGCCCTTCATTGGGGAGAAGAAAGGACACTGATAAAACTGTCTATTGTCCTTTTCTGAGGTCTCTCCAGCTCACTGCACTGTTCACACATACTGTACTGTAATGGCTTCCTGTTCTTCCTTAACTCGGGCTGGATGGATGAGCAATAAAGTGGGAAGAAAAGTGAAAATCCTTTTAGCTTTTTTTTTTTTAAGGTTACAAACAGATCAGTGGTTTTACTTTTTTACTTACCTTGTCCTGTGCACATTAATCCTTCAGGGTCTGTCATGGTCTCTACTGGGACAGCCCTGGATTTTTACCACTTGTTTTTTTCATTTCCCCTTTGGTGACTTTAAATTCAGAAAAACATTCTTCCAGTCAGTGTAACTAATTCATCCTTTTTTTTAAATCATGAAACATATTTTTTGCTACTGTAGTTGTTACTTTATATCTGTCTGTCACAATACAGGCCAAATACTAACTATAGGAATTCACTGGAGCAAACGTCACTTCTGTCCTGAACAAGCCCCACTTATCTTGAAGTTTCTCTTTTTTAGACATCTACAGTGCTATAGAGATTTGATTCCATTCTTTTTAGAATCTGCAAATGGAAACAGACTTCCAGCTCACCCTGGAAATGGGGTGTTGATGATGTTGGCAGTCAAAGACAAGACTGCTGTAAAACCTGACACACAGCCAAGTCCGTGTGAGGCAAGACCGCGACGTGCTGTATACAGCTCTTCAAACACAGCGTGAAAGCGCACAGCCCCTCACTGTGAGCAGGGAAAGGAGCACACGGCAGAACAGCAAGGTAAAGCGATGGTGTTTTAAAAAAATATATATATAATCTTCATTTGAATGTACAGCACTAAATAGATTATATTAACTATGTTAATATATAATATGCAGATTTATTCATTATTGCAAATATTGTTTTGGCTTGCCCTTCTTTAATTTGCTTTCAGTTTTCAGAAATGACTTCTGCAGCGACAGATTCTTCAGGATATGAGGGTCGATATGCACAAGCTTTTAAGCTGTTCTTGCAGCGCTCCACTGAGCACAGCAGCATATTTGATTTCATCGACAGAACTCTCCTGGGGGAGTTCACAAGGTAACACTGTGACAGATTGAAATAGTCTAAGGCATTAAACATACTTTTGCTCGTTAAGAGTTAAAAACAATGCATTGTTTTGAGTTTAAAAGGAAAAATTGATGCAATATTTCAGTTGAAACTCGAGTGTTGTGTAAGAAGAGTTGAAAAGTTTAAAAAGGTTAAAAGCATAAAATGGTTTAAAAGTTCTGGACACTGGCCATTAAGGATGATTTTTGTATTAGAAGTAGATCTGCAATCTACTTCTCGAATCCTTACTGATAAAGCAGTTCGGTTTTCCTCATTCGCAGTAAAGCCATTGTCGAGGAAACACTGCTTGAGGGTCTGATTTATTAATTATAGTATTAACTATATCACGTGTTTCAGAGAAATAAAGTGAGCTCTTTCTATGTACAACAGTCTGCAGTCAGTTCATAGATACGTGTGCACGATAGAAAAAGTATCTCTAACTTCAAACTAGAAACAAACTGAAAATTGTTATACAGTTGCTAAGATAGTTTAGTAAAATATGTCAGATCTAAGGTAAATAGCAATACAATAATTTGTAATATCACGAGATACCCAAGTGTTAGTTTTGGAAATTTACTTTGCCTGAGGAGGTTCTTGAAATAATTGAACAATTCTGTAAAAGTGGTCAGTGGAATGTGAACTTGAGAATGGGAGAATCAGAGTCACAAAGAAAAGTCACAAAGAAAAGTATGAAAAACATAGTATAAAAAACAAATTTCTGCTGAGGTGCCTTCTTCGGGTGTGTGGGAGTTCTGGAGAGCGTTTCACACCTCTGAGTAACAGTCCCATCAGCATCCACACTCTCTGGTTTAATCTGGTAAATGAGTTAGCATATGTAACATATTATAATACAAATATTTTCTTCCACAAGTTTGAAATGTGAAAATAAGGTCGATTTCCTGGAACGTGCATCACTTTTCTTTTCACAAATTATTCTTTGGGTCTGTCCTGTGGACTACAGTATATAACAGAAGTACATTCTTCTGACAGCTGTGCTACAGTTGTGGGAAAGTCAGGCGTTAGAGCTAGGCATGCCTGACATTCACACTCATGGTGTGTCAACACTCAGCTCGTTTGAGATGGGTTTTTAATTTAGTGCTGTTAATTTATCCTGAGTAATGTGTGAGCTCCAAAAGAAGTCTGTCCCTGTCAGAGTTTGTTTCAGCCAAACTCCACCGAGTCCTTCTCAAGTGCTGGTTTTGGCCCATTTTGTTCTGTGCAGTGTCAACACAGCAGCCAGTGAGCAGCACCAGAAAGATAGATTGTGCAACGGTGTTCCATCACACAGGGGGACAGACAGTATGGTGTACTGGATGTACCTGTAATGTGGGCTTAACACAAAACAGTGTCACCTGTTTTTATTGAGAATTTCAGTACCCTTCAAGAGTATTTCTTTTGTAAATACAGATTGTTTGTAAAGCAAAAATAAGTTCTGACTTTCTTGCGGCAATACTTTTGGAAGTTTTTGTTTTACTGTACCTCAGAGTTCATTGTCAATTAGAGGTTCGAGTCACTTGGATAAGAGATGTGTGTGCTAAGGCACTTAATTACAAATGTCTGATCTTCGGGACTATGTCCCCTCTTCAAGCTATGAAAACCTTGATTCCAGAGGTATGGCTTGTCTCTGTTCAACAGTTTAAAACAAAAGCAACAAATTAAACATGCTATGTTGCTTTCAATCAACTGCTGTATTTAACACACTTCGGTTTGTGTGTGTTTTCTACTCGGCCTCTGAGAAGTTCATAATGTGGGTAAAAAGTGTGCAGACATGCTTTACCTTGTACCTTTGGGAATTAAGAGTGAGCGGGCTGTAATCCTTTAAGAGAAGAATAACAGGACAACATATTTTCTCTGTCCCAAAGACAATTCTTTCTAAATATTAACTGCAGTCTCTTTTGTAGCATATACTTATTAAAATATGTTCTTTCTTCTCTACAGAATTGGAGATGGAAAATCTACACTTAATGTTTTAGGTCTTGGAAGTGGGGGAGGTAAACTCATATTCTTATTAAAGTTACAACAGTGTCAATTCTTGAAAAAGATACAAGGCGGCAATAAACTGCATTTCAGAAAATTTGACCCATACAGCAAAAAAATTTTTTTTGATATACACTGCATTTTTGTGTTTCCACATTTTGGAACTGTATTTCTTTGTATTTAATAAAAACTTTTTTCCCCTCTTGAGGAAAAAATATACAAGCACATATGGTGATTATTCATTTCTTGCATGCAAATTTGTGAGCAAGGAACGTGTACACCGGAAAATCACATATAATCACTTTTTTAAACTTAAAAAAAAGTCTCATTTCAAAATATGACTACTTGTTAGTACAGTAGTAGAGCTGACATTGACAGCAGATTTGTCTTCTCAGGGGAAGTGGATGTCCATCTGCTCACTAAACTGCAGTCTGTCCACCTGGAAAAGACCATCACAGCCGATATTGTGGAACCCAGTAAGGAACTGACCCAGACCTTCAAAGGTACAGAAACCTCAATGAAAGATTTACTCTGCACCATGGCTCATCCGTGATTTGGTGATTCCGTAGAAGGTACTGGAAAGTTTGGCCTGACTAAATTTGGTTACACCGTAGGATGGTACTGTATAGTGAGTGATGCAGTTACGGATATTTTGCCTTCAAAATTAAAGCAGTGGGTTAAAGACAAAAGAAATATGAAAGAAAATGTAAAAAGGAGTACACATTTGATGCATTTTAATACCTCTCAGCATGCAAAAAAATCCCTAAACCTTTATGTAATGAGTACCTTAAGAATCTTTGTCTGCATGCATGGGCAGAGAAGAAGTAGTTATCTGTGCTCAACACATTACAAAGCAACCAGGTCAATGACAGTTACAGCTTTTCTGTGTTTTTTCTTCCCACCCCATTTCCCGGGCTTGCATGGTTGAGGGAGGGACAAGATTGACCACAGCTGGCAATATGTTCAATGATTTATACTTGTTCTTGTAACCTCCACATCTTGCTAGCTTCCCTCCGATTGTCAGTCGTTTTATATGTGAGTGTTTAAAGTTCACCCTGCTGCCAGAGTTGTCTTGTAGTGAAGGTGACTCCCCCCCTTCCCTTAAAAGTTTAAATCACTGATGGGGGTGCTCCCCCATCAGGAGCCTCTTCCCCATCACTCCTCTGTGTTGTGGACACGGTTCTTCTATAATGGGAATATTTACAGTATGACATAATAATCTAAAACTAAAACTAAAGGGGAGCATATTCAAAGTTTGGAAATAGCAGGCGCATTTTCAAACAAGCTTCCCATGGTGTTTAAGCCAGAGCACTGGAATGTTTTGAGGAATGGCTGGATGAGAACTTTGTATCGGTTAGCTACTAGCAGCTTCACAAGCTAGAAACGGCCTCCCCACGTCTGCAGACTTTGTGTTCTTGAATGTGCAAACACATCCGTTTGCATGCTAATCAAAAGTATTGCAATGACACCAACAGCCTGGTAGTTTAAACAGCATGTGAGCTATGAAAAGAAAAGTGAGCACACATGCATTCTACTCCATCTGCCACATTGAAAATCAGAACAGTGCGTTCATCTCTCCTCTGGCATGTCTCTTCAGGAAATGGCCTTTTAAAGGAGTGGCTTGTGATAGACACAACTCCTTCTGAAGCCCTGCTGGTATCTAAAAGTGATACTGTACATATTTACTTATCACAGCAAACGGAAAGTTTGATATACTGTATCAGTTGTGTGTTAACTTGGACATATCTCTGTTTCATTGGATATATTTCTGCAAAAATATCTTCTTTCCACTGATCACAACCTGCAGATCCATCCATCTTCTAACCCTGTTATCCAGTTCTGGGTCGCAGGGCAGCAGGAACCTATACCAGCAACCAGCAGGCGAAAAGTAGGTTACAACCTGAACAGGATGCCATTCCATTGCACAGCACACACAGACACAAACAGGCACACACAGACACAAACAGGCACACACAGACACAAACAGGCACACACAGACACAAACAGCCACACACAGACACAAACAGCCACACACAGACGCAAACAGCCACACACTCCAACCAGGGCCAGTTTTTCCAGAAGACAGTTAATCTACGAGCATGTCTTTGGACTGTGGAACCCGAAGCACCGAGGGAATACCGATGTGAAAATGGGGAGAATGTACTGTTCACACTCCATGCAGACAGCACCCCGGCAATGCTAACCATTGGGCCACTGTGGGCACCACGCTGCTGGTCCAGTGCTATGCAAATGTATTCAGTTCGCTTTGGTCTATTACAGGTGCTCTTCAGCTCTGACTTATTAATCACTGATTAACCTTCTAGCACTGGTGGCAAAGACTCCAAACCTTAAGAACATCAGATTCACCTGGAATACTATGACTTGTGCTGAGTATGAACAACGAGTAAAAGAGACAAAAGATGACAAACGATTTGACTTCATTCACATGATTCAGGTAATGAAATCAAACAGAATTGTTTTTTAAATCATTTTGTTCAAATATATTTAACAAATCGTCCTCATGGTTTAATGTATTTTGTAATTCTAGAATAGGCGGGGATGTGCAGTATGGCAGAAAATATTACTTAGGTGAATGGTGTTGAGAATAAACATTTTAAGTTTTATACTACAAACAAAAACTCATAAAAGTGCCACTGGTTGTGAAAATATTTCTTATGATCTTGCAAATGGGATGCTGAACATACTGTACATTAATTATATTAGTAACTTTTATTTAAAATGTATTTCCCAACAATTCCTGTTTTTCTACACCATTCACAAATTGAAAAATTTTAAAAGAAGTAGATTCTTAAAATTGCCAAACTTAGCTACAAAAAACATTAGTTATACTGTAAAATTATCAACTGATAATTTTCACAATGTTTCCTTTTATGGAATGCTTTCAAATACTGTATGTCTCATGTAGTTGCGAACAAATCAAGGACATTGTTGGATGTATTTCTCAGCACAGTTTAGTTAATTTGTCTTTAACGGTATCTCATTAATTGCTAATTCTTATCTCCTTTCCAGCAATGAGTGTTAAAGCAATCTGATTGATATCCATTTCTCTGTGTTTGGTACTGTAATGTGGCTGCTACAATCATAATAACATAAAAACAAAATATATAATCTTATGTTCCATGATGTCAGGTAGGATTGGAGGATTGGCATTAAAGAATGATTATTGCCATTTCACAGCATTGCACATGGCAAATAACTGAAGAGGGAAAAAATTCAATCACATAAAATGACATTTAATATTTTTTAGATTTATTGTTTAACCTGATTTTTGCCAAGGGACATTTAGTTGACAGAGGTACTAGTCTGATTACAATTGTAAAAGAACATTATTGATGTGTGAAGAAGCTAGGAGAATAAATTCAGAATATGCTAGTTTCTATGTACAATGTCACCAATTGGCTTGTTAATGTATATCCACAACTTGGAGTTATTTTTATTTTTATCGCTAAACCCTTAATGTACTCATAATATACTAGAAGTTAAAAAATATTAACCCTATTAAATTCTTAGTTGTAACAGTTAATTTGTCAAATGTTTAACATGAAAACACAATTTTTTCTGGTGTATCCAATTTGTCCCTCCTAGTTTTGGAAGTGTTTTTCCTGAGAGGCCCCGGGAGGAACTGGTGCTCTTTCCTGGGTGCCTCAACAGGTGAAGGGGTTACTGTGAAGGCTTTACTTTCATAGCCCTGACATCCCCGCTCCCTGATTTCTTTTTTTTTTAAGATCTCTTGATGTCAATACATAACAAGTCAAAACAATGCTTTGAAAAGCTGACTTTTGATGATCATCCTTCTAGTGAAAATTTTCTATTATCAATGAGATAATCTCTTAATTTCCATCTTTTGATAATCTTTTTCAGCAGAGCTGAAAAGTTTAGAACTTATCTAACATTTCAGAGAACGTACAATGTTTTTCATTAAGTTGAACATTTTTTAGCTTAAAAGGGTTATTTGATTTACTGAAGAAAATGGCACAATATATTATTTTGCAGAAGTCTTCCATGTTTTTTTTTATTTCCATGTTTAGTTTTTACTGTTGTTTCCCTAGATGCTGTATTATGTGTCTGACTATGCTGCAACAATCAAGTTTTTTCACAGCCTTCTTAGGGAGAAAGGAAAGCTTCTTATCATCCACGAAGCAGGTATTATGCTGTATTTTATTGTCAGTGCTTGTGGTGGTATACCATGATGCTTTGATAACATGTTAAAACAATATGCGTATTTCAAAGGAATCAATGGTTGTGTGTGTGTGTGCTTTCAAACTGTTTCTAAAAGAGCCGTAGTTGTGTCTAATGACTTCGTATCCTCTCATGGAATTTCATGTTCAGAAGGCCAGATCACACTCTCTGCACAGTATATTAATAAATATATATTCTCCTCAAGGCATGGTACTCCTACAGCCTTCAGTTGAAATAATAGCTGTTTTGAATCCCAACAGGGCTGTTTGCCATTAATTGTATACAGGGCATGTTGTTGAATGTTCCCAGGCTGCTGTACAATGCTTCTTTCAACATCAGGGTCTGAAGAATTAAGAAGCAATCAGTGCTTAACAGTGTATTTGTTGTTACATTGATTGCTCATGTGCTATGTGATGCAGCCTTCTGCTGACAGCCTGAAGGTGTGGCTCATCTTCTGCCTTCTTCAGTGCTGATTTCATACCCTGACTGAGACCCAGGCAGCCAGCTGCCCAGACCCATAACAATCCATAGGATACCTAAGGACAGAGAAGAATCTGGTGTTTCACCACCAAGCATGGCATTGTGAGGTTCAGAGAGGAGCCGAAGCAAGAAATGTTGCAAGGATGTATTAGAAGTATATATAATAAACTACATAGATATGTTAGCTTTTTCATCCAACGTTGGGTTCACAGTATTTATGATAAGTGTAATGACAAGTTAACTCACGTGAAGATCTTTTGCATCGCATAGAGGGAGAAACAAGATTATGAAATGTGCTTAAAGGAGGGAGGGAAGGTGTCTCTGTTACTGAGGCTTCCGTGTACCATTCAGGACCAAAGCCAAACCTGAAATTAATAGGGCATTTTTTTTTGTGATGATTCTCTTCGTAGCGGGCAGCGGTTGGGAACTCCTTTGGAAAACCTACAAGGAAGCACTTTGTACAAACAAAATCTCCCAGTACCTTTCAGCAGGCGACATTAAAATACACCTGGAGAACCTGGGTCTGAAGTATGAAGAGCATGAGATTCCCAACACCCTGGATATAACAGAGTGCTTCATGAAAGGGAATGAAACAGGAGAACTGCTTCTGGACTTCATGACAGAGAAAAACCATTTCTATAAAACAACACCTCCGGACCTCAGAGAGGGGATTCTGGAGTTACTCCGCAATAAGTGCAGCAAGGAGAAGGATGGAAGAATTATTTTCAACAGCAATCTGAGTGCCCTGTTTATTCAGCTATAAAGTGAAACCAGCCCTACATTTCCAGATTAGGAAAAATAATCCATATAAAATTAAATGTCTTCTTAATTCTTCAGTATAACTTTGAATTGGAAGTGCTAATTATAATTATCTATATAGTAATGCTGATTTTTGACATCTGGAGCAAAAGGGGTTTCTACAGGATAATCATTTTTAGTATGCGAATATCCTATATAATATCAAGATTTAATCCCCTATTCATATTTTATAGTGTGTATATATATACTCTGAGCATTTAGTTTTTTTATTTTAGAGGCTGGGCTGTGTGTCTGATCTGACAGTTCTCACGGTGGATCTAGTTGGGCTTTAAATATTTCTCATAATTAATATTAAAATTATTTTGTCATTTTTAAATTGGGGGTTCTTCACAAGATTTCTTCACTCAGAAAAGGCTGGATCATCTTTATGATATATACTGTAGATACACATTTGGTAATGCATTTATGGGTCTCCACATTGGAGACAAATTCTCACAGTAAAACCTAATTGCACTATTACTACCTTTAAGCATATAAAAGAAAAACTGAAACTGAAATTTCAAAATAAATCCACTAGGCTGTACTATAGTACAGTTAATGGGTAGAGAGCAAATCTCACTGAGCCTCTGTGATGACTCTGCAGGCAATTTCTCTAGCCGGATAAACTAAATAAAATAAATGCTACTGTAAATCAAATTTTGTGATGATAATAATGCAGTTTTCATTTTGGAATAAAACTCTATTCTCAGTTGTAATATTAGCAAATATAGTAATCAGTGAAGCCTATCACGGTTGCCTCAACCAAATTAGTTCACTCAGTATAAATTGTATTTTAATGTAGTGTAGCCAGTATGATTGAGAGCAAAGTAATTACTAAAAACTCCACATCACTAATTTTTTAGCTTTGCCAGTTGCTCTGTTGTTGATGGCAGACACCATGAATCCATTCAGGTTATACATTGAATAATCTGAGAGTCAATTCCTAGTTAAGTGCCTTCATCTTGCATGCTGAGAAAAGGCTTGAGCACTTTTTATTCAAAAACAAAGGGTTTTATCTTAAAACTACTTATACAGTATATTACTATTATTGATGCTACTACAAAGAGCTACTGTATGATAATATCAATGTACTACAAAGATGAGTTCAAAAAAACACTGGGGTGTGTTCTGTAATCTCTGCTGATCCTTGCGTTTCCACTGTTTATTCTTGATTTCTAACCATAAAGGTTACAAACAGAAGAGACTATTCATCCTAGTCTAACTCACATGGTTAGTACTGTAGTAGCTAAATGACCTCAGCATCTCATCCAGCAGTCCCATGAAAGAAGCCAGGGCTTTAACTTTGACAATATGGTTATGCTAAAACTGTGCAGAAACAACAACAACAACAACAAAAAGATTAGTTTATAATATTGTGTAATTCCATTTACGTGGTATCTTGTAGACAGAATATGTAACACAATGAATCAAAGATCTTAGTTCCCAAGATTGCTAACATAGCCACTACAAAACTTAGATGGACTTTCATTTCACTAAAGATTATCATAAAAGTGTGTTCTTAAAAGCGAAAAATTAAAAGTTTAAACAATTGTATACCAAATGGTTCAACAAAAAGAATGCAGTTTTCTAATTCAATTAATACAATGAATTGCAAGCACAATATTGAATTGTAGGCTAAAATAAATAAAACTTCCTTCAGTACTACAACACTAAAGAATATCAGGTTTGAAGTGAAATATATCTGGGACAAATACAGTATGGTAGATGTCTAGACAACAAAAGGGAAATGGCTGATGTACTATACAAGTATTTCACTCCAGTGTTCACCGAAGAAGTCAGACAAACACCTCAAGTAGCAGAAGTACAAGGTTCTGTACCTGACAGTGCTAGTGTAGAAGAGGTACTAGAACAACTCAGGAGCAATAAATTCCCACAGCCCATTTTATGAAATGTACTTAAGAAAACGAGAGATGTTATTTAAAACCCATTAACAACTCTAGCACCAATCCCTCAAGACAAGGATAGTACCCAGGGACTGGAGAATTACTGATGCAGAACTCTTCTACAGAAAGGGTGAGCAATTAATCAGGTAGATACAGTATAGACCAATATGTTCAAGTAGGGAGCTGCGTCAGCATGCGTAGGCTGCAAAGGAACAAGTAAATGTGGATTCCAAGCTCAAAAGAGATGAAAACAAGCACAACGTTTCAGCTGTGGAGCCTTCTTAGGGTGTGCAGAACCAATGTGTCTGACTCAAATTACATGCAAGGAAAAAATAAAGAGAACTAAAATACTGGCTCACCTATATAGGCACATAACAGGATAATTAACATATTTTCAGAAGGCTTTTGATTAAATTCCTCATAAATGATTAATTCTCAAATTGCAGATGGTAAGTACTGTAAGAAATATGACTTTTGACTGAGAATCAGCTATGATTATGAGAACAATACAGTAAGGGGGTAAGTACTCAGACTGGGATAATGTAAATAGTGGAGTGCTACAAGGATCTGTACTAGGACCACAGCTGCTCTTACTTTATACCGTATAAATGACCTAGACTCTGATATAGTTAATAAAGTAGTCGGGTTTGCAGATGATACCAAATTAAGAGGATTAGCAAATATTGTAAAAGCAGAAAATGATATTCAAAAAGATTGAGCTAAAATCTACGACTGGGCAAACAGCAGGCAGATGACATTTAGTGTAGGCAAGTACAAGGATTTGTGTGCAGGTAAAGAAAACCAGCTATAAATAAAAAACAGAAGGTTACTTATCAACAAACCGCAGGCTTTTATACTGTCATCTGCACAATGTTTGAGAGGAATTAAAAAGACACAAAATTCAATTCAATTCATTTGCTAGGGTGTAAAGTTGAATGGTAGAATATTGTGTACAATTTTGGTCACTATGTTATATAGAACATATATTACTGGTCTGTATTCAGTACCTGAACCTTTTTAATGTTGAACATGAAAGACTATGGGGGGAGCTGATACAACTATTCAAAATACTGTACCTCACAGACATTGAGAAAGTCAACCTTGCCAATTTCTTCAGCATGAACAGTGAAAAACAAATCAGATGGATAGGAGAAACGTCTTTATGCCAAGGGGTGGGAGTATTGAACAAGATACCCTGCTGTGTGATTGAAGCTGATCCACTGGCTTCTTTCAGGAAACAGCTGGATGAGATCATTGGATCAATTAACTACTAAAGGGCTAGATGTTTCAAATGGACATTTCTTGTTTGTATCCTTCCTAAAGCAGGAACCCCCAATCCTAATCCTAAAGGGCAGGTTTTTCCACGTCTCTTTAAAGCATGAGCACATGAGGAACTGGGAGAGATGCTGTTATACTCATCCAATTCAGTTGATAATGTCCTAATTCATCTCATTACATGCTCAGCTGGACTGAAAACCTTTAGACACACCATAAATAAATCCCTGCTCTAGAATATCCATTTGTTTGTCTTTTTTTCTGAGTAAGCCACATTGGTAAATGAGAAGATTTCCAATCCTGGTCCTTGAGGGTTGGCATGTAGGCCAGTTTTCTAGGTCTCAAAGCACCAGGAAATGCTGGGAATCCTTTAATTTAGTTCCACAAGGGGGCCTCAGAGTGATGCATTGCTGGCAAACACTGCTCACATTCACTGGAGACCTTAAACGTATCTGATAGGAAGCTAAAACACCTTCTGAGTTACAACAACAAGCCTAGCCATTGCGCCACTGGGAGAGGCTTGCTAGACCCTGATAGAGAGCACCTGTGGCTGTCTGTTGAAAATGCCAGTTTATGGTACTCCGATGTTTGCTATTGTTGCCCTGCAATGGTGATGCTGCCCAGCAAAGCCTCTGTTAAAACTGTAGAAGAACACGGATTTGCTGATCATGGGCTGCAAGAGAATGTAGTTTTAGATAACAGGCTGCAATTCACCCAAATAAAAACAAATCTTGATCTAAATGGTACAATATCACAACATACATTATATATCATCTGTTACAGCAAAAATATTTGATATATTTTGTCTTGCCTATAGTTGCAGTGCACACATACTGATTCATAATGAAAAAGCAAGTTTTAATAGCTCATCAGGCACATAATGACATTTACATTACATCATAAAAACTTAAGGATCATATTGCTTGGCAATTGATTTGTTTTGATTTGTCTTAAATAAGAATTTGTATTAACAAAGTTTTAAAAAGAACAGTAAATCAAATGACTGTCTTTCCTGAGAAATGTAAGCTCATGTAAAGACTTGTACCAGGAAACCCACTCTCTAAAGTACAGGATGTCACAGGAGGCAGATGATCATCATGCTACTCCAGGACAAAAACATCTCGTTCATCTGTATAATCAATGAAGACTGTAACGGCTACAGCATGAGAAATTGAAGGAAGAAATACCCGCACAGTAAATTAAGTACAGATATTTACATGCTCAGAGACCATTCTACAGTCTGACACCTGCATACTAAAAGTGTGGCGACATAGTGGTGAGCATCATGCTGAGTACTGGTTATTTAAACCATCTTCCACTTGGGAAGTGGAAGGGTGATGTGGAATTGACACAAAAAGGTGATGTGATTTTACTCAAAAATGTAGATTTTAGCAGACGGAACGCAACCTTATTACTCAGCAATACACTGTCAAGACATTGATCCAACAGTTTTCCTGTTCCAGCCCATCTTGATAGTGTGAATTTTCCACCAGGTCAATGCAGGACCACACACTACAAACATATTTCTTGATGTTGTGTGTCATGATTTGCCTTGGCCAGATCTTTCTCCTGATACGAGTCTAAAATGAGACCAGCTCACCAATGCCATCACAGGAGACAACTGTGAATCGCCATGCTTTGCAAACTGGCTGTAGCTGCACAGACAGAATGGTGAAACATACCACAGCAGTCTGTGCAGAGGCTGATCAGGACTGTGTATCAACACTGCCAGGCCTGTGTTAGAAATATACTTCTATACTGCTGCATTTCATATTGAAATATTATTATTTGTTTCACATTTTTTTGTGATTGTTTGATTTCAATGTTTAAAATACTCGATTAAATCAATTTGACCTGAGCACTGTCTCTTTTGTGCATCGGTTGATGTATATACATACATAGTACTTTGTTCCACTTCTAACTTTCTGCTTGAGAAGCCCATTGTACTCAGTGTGATATAAATCAATGCCTTGAGAGATTTCCAAGGAAAGCAGAACAAGTGATATCAGAGTCGCACATATTTCCCATTAGACATAATCTATCAGTAATTGAAGTTCATTAGAAATTCTTGTCGACTTTTTTTTTTCCTATCATGTCACACGGCTTACAGAACCTCAGCTGCATAACAAAAGGTCCTTGCTGGGGAATATCCTATTAAGCACTGACAGAGCATTTGTCATTGAGATAATAAAGCCTGGAGCAGCTTGTGGAATACACTACAGAACTGTTAATGTACGCTATTCTCGAACATGAGCAGCTCAACTCAATAAAAACACTGCTTCATCGCACAAAATTCAGCACAGCACCTTTACTTAATCACTCTGTGAGTGTACTTCCTGTAATTTGTCATTCATCCAGAAAATAACTGTACAGTAGATATACTTTGGACAAATAATGGTCTTTTTTGCCTTTATTTTGTAAACATTATCTTAAGGACAACCTCGGAGGAATTACATTAAATTCATTAAAATACTGAGTTGGAGATTTCATAGCAGAAAGCAGTGGATTTAGAAATGTGTCCAAGATTTCTGTTATTTTTAATCATCAACTACTGTAAAGTGCTTTGAGATGGTACTTTTAAAGACATTTTTTAAAATAAATGTATAAAAATTAGTCTATGCAGCACATGCAATATATTTACAGAAGATGTCTACCTCACAGGGTTTGACAACCATAACATTTCAAGATTCTCTCACTGAAATGGTGAGGGAACATGAGGTATCATGTTCCCTTCTTCAGTAATAATGCACAACTGGCTTAATTCTTTAAACAGGAATCAATACAGAACCTTAATTAGCACAATATAAATTGTCACTTCACCAGCTTCAGACCAAACTCTGCAAAAAGTTGAGGTTCTGTAGAAAATGAATTTAGAACTGCACAACTGTTTTTCACTGGAGCTGTAACCCTTGCCTGGATAAGCAGATATCTGACAACAGATGGACAGAATTGTTTACAGGATAATTGTTTTGTTCAAATCATACAGTATATGTTAAATATATTTGAGAAATACAATGTTTACCTCAGTAGCTTCCAAAACATTGTCTGTATTACATTAATCATTTTTATTTTCCATGTCGCAGTAAAGCTGGTGTTGTCTTAGATGCTATGTTAACAAATAATGTACATTGGACTATAAAAGTTATATTTAATGTTGTGCTCATTTTTAACAGTCGTACAGGAGGGCTGCTTCTTTCCAGTTTCTTAAAAGAGAAGATTTCCAGAAAACACTGATATGCCTGAGTCAGTCACCCTAAGCAGTTGAACATTCAAAGGGCAGATAAGTAGAGTGTCAAGATTACCTCTATCAGTGGAAAAGATCTGATCTGCTATGTTTTCTTTTACTTCAAATCTTCGTAAGGGCAAGTAGGATCTAAGAACAATCCTCTATTAACAAGTGAATATAAGCAGGGCGAAGTACATCCTCGAAGATCCTGCTCTTATCATTGGTCCTGCATTTTTTCAGAATTATGCACTACACTAACCTGACATTTTTTTCCAGATTTCTCAAACTGGACAAAGTAATCATGCCAACACTAGCCAGCACAAATCCTTGTTAGGTATTCATTTTCCTTGTCCTCGGAGGCATCGTGTTATTAGAGACATGAACTGACAATCTTGGTCTGAGATTTCTCCTGCAGCAACAGATGAGATAAGAAAAGTTTATTTCTTTAAAGGTTTTCCTTGCTAACCAAACCCTGAGTGGCACCCATAAATAAAGTTGTGCGATACTCAGTTAAAACTGTACAGCAAATTTGGTTGAGTTGCTTTTGTTTATTGCATAACAAGGAGACCATTGCTTATTGCTTAAAATGTTGAGCAATCCTTTAAAGACATTCATTTAGTGGACTTGTGCTCATTACAAAACAAACATGCCACACTGTATATAAGAGCTGGGAGAGTTGAAACTGGAATTACTATTAGTGGCCCATTATATACTGTACATATTGTATGCGAGTTGCAAGCTCTAGTGTTTATTCTGTAATGTTGTATGCATTTGTAATCATCTGGCCAATTTCCTGCGAGTACCTATAAGGTTTTTGTAGTATACTGTAAATGCTCTCCGACAGCTGGAATAAAAAGATGAATGCCCTAACTTCAAGTGAAGACTTGCAGCTCTGGCGAACCACGATAGTTTAATAAATGCTTGCCCTGTCCCACCACACTGTCTTCTCACAGCCTCACTGCCACAATCAATCAGAGATTCTCATATCAGCTAGCATGTCACTCTGTGCATCTGTAGGAGGTTTGACCAGAATATAAACTGCTCTTTAATGCATCAACTGGAATTTAATGGGCAGCTACTGAACCTGGCCTTGAAATATGGCCATGATACAAATCCAGTAAATGACTCACAGCAGCTGACCCTGGCAATATTTCATCCAAGAGAATTAGTACTATTTAGCAGGTGCAGTTATATAGTGTCTATCACAAAGCAGAGAAGACAGCAACCTGATTTATGGTGAAGGCCTTTCCTTTACCGAAGTAGATTAGCCATCCATTATCAGTACGCCACCTAACCTGGCGAGAGTTGCAGTATGTTGCTGCCTATCCTGGAAGCACAGATGCCAGACTGCTGCAGGGCCAGAGAGAAGGGGATAATCCAGAAGAGCCAATCAAGCACAGCCTGCACATCTCAGGGAGGTGCAACTGGCAGAAAAACAAACCAGCATACATTCTCTACGCAGTCAGGAGCCTGAGCCTGGTATTGAACCCAGGACCCAGGAGCAGTGCCCCCTGACATCACCCCTTCCCAAAGCAACAGATAAAATCACCTTGAGACCAGCTCCTGGTTTTATAAAGCAGAGATACGCCAACTCAAAAGGAGCTTTAAGGAGGTTAATGCATTTTAAATCAATCTTCTGAAACATGTAGCTGGAGGATGGATCCTTGCCGAAAGCCAACATCTTTTAGCATAAGGTTCCAGCTGTACCCCCTTTTTAACAAGATTTTGAAAAAGCATGATTTCATTTCTGCCAACAAAACTTCACCTCACAGATAAGAGCTTTTGAATTGTTGAATAAGAACAGAAGAAAGGTCACAGAATGCGAGGAGGCAATGTGGCTCCTCTCACCCATTTTGTTGCTTGTAGCGAAGTGATCCTGGGATCTCATGTTGCTGCTTCCTGAAAGAAGGAAGGCATCTTGTCCACAGCAGAGTTAGGTAGCTTCCTCCTGCCTCAGATTAATCTTTGTGCTCTGTTTCCTATTGTCTCCTCAGTGGTTTCTCCGATTCCTGCT